AAAAAATCTGTGCTTTGAAAATCTAAAATCCGTGCTTTGAAAAAAAAAGCTATGTGGCCTTGTCAATCTGGCAAGATTGTATGGGGAGACTTAGCTATCATTATGATCATCGACCACTTTCGATTTCTGTTTCAAAAATTTTGCATTGTTGGCGTATTACCACCACCACCTAAAGCACGAAATTTGCTTAGGAGCATAACGTCCAGTACAGGTGACAAAGAAGGTTCGTTTGTCTTTGGGTCGACTTTGGACGTTTCTTTGGATGTTTCTAATGATACTGACACACGGTTATAAATATATTAATTCTGTCATATTTTGGTTATAATAGTGTAAGCGTGATATCGTGTTATCGGAAGTCAAATTCTGGAAACTGGCAACCGTGCTTAAACCTGCTTTTTTCGACTATTTTGTGGTGTGTCGATACTAGCAAAGCGTGTTGTCTGAACAATGTGGACTAGCGATCCAACATGTATTTCCTTTAAAACAAACTAGAAAAAACAACCAACGAATATATTGGAAAATGCGTAAACAGAAAAGTTAAATATTATGTATATATAAAAACACGATAGATTAATACTTTTTAATTGTGATACACAAAATACCAGGTAGAAATCTAACTTGTTTATATCCTATTAAATAAAAATATTAATGCATGGTAGTCATTTAAACATCTTGTATTTGGCTTTATATCTGGGCACAACATTTTGTGACCAGGATGTTTATCTTATAGCAACCAAATTAAAATTGAGTTGTATTTTATTTAGTGTCCCTGCTTTTTTTATGATTTCTACAATACATTGTAACCTAACGTATTTTGTAGCGGACTGACAGTGACAATTCTATGTATTTCCACCGGTCAAACTATAAACCACAACCTATCAGATCCACTCTATACACTTGGGATTTAAAACCTCATAATTCACCAGCAAACGAAGCACCAGATTCTAATACAGACAATATGATTGGTTAATATGCTCAATATGTGATCTAAGTACCGTTTACAGAAATATAACTATCTAAAAGTTAACGAATTATAACATAAAGAAAACGCAATTGATATACTAGTATTGGTTCCAAAGCTCTAGGACTAGCTTTCAATCTGCTATGGAAATATACTTAGAATTAATTTTAGCTGTTTTTATTTTACTATTGATAAGTTTTCTGAATAGTTGAGCCTATCAAGGCAGTAAATTGGGAAAGAGTTGTGTAACCCCAGTAAATTGTTTTCACTAGACAAGTTCAATGGGCTATTTCTTACCATTTTGACCTTTGATTTGCGGACTTAAACGAGCTGTTATTTCGGAGTCACTGAGAACACTGGGACCTCCCCTTTCATATATCTAGATATTATTATATTTTGCAAAGGTAACAGGACATGAAGTATACGAGGACATACTTTATTGCTCTCGTGGTTTGGTTTTAAAATCTGATAAACAAATTAAGATAAATGATTCCTTAACTGGCGATAAGCCCAACCAGGAAATATTTTGTAGCATATATCTACAGAAGTAAGTACAAAGATATGTGTTATCTATATGGCTATCTTCACATTAGGTTTATAAAAATATGGTTGCTACGTAGCTTTTATTTATAGCGTGTAAGTACGTTTGAAAAATCGTATACATAATATGGTTTATATATGTAAGGTACTTGATTCTACTTTATTTAAGAATGACCAAAATCTAATTAGAACATTATTAAATTGTTAATTGCTATCTTTTATCAAAAACGGGATTTGCGGGCTATTCAAGAATTTGCAAATACTAGCTGATTTTTTTTTATTGTGTTAATTTCAATCTTATCTCTTAAGTTTCATTATTCAAATCATTCAAATGATAATTTTATCAAAAACTGAGTTTGTGGGCTATTGATAGCTTTCAAGGTAACTAAATTTATCCAGAAACGGTAATGACCTCGTGAAATAGTCTTCTCTCAATTTATATCTTTATATAGAAATGTAAACTTTATTTGAAACTAGATAATAATTATTTTCGGAGAAAAAAGCAAATCTATGATGGAAATTATATCTGATGTATACTGTGATCATAAGCCATAAACACGAACGTATTGTGTAGGATTTATATAATTTATTTATATAATTTATCCAGAAACGGTAATGACCTCGTGAAATAGTCTTCTCTCAATTTATATCTTTATATAGAAATGTAAACTTTATTTGAAACTAGATAATAATTATTTTCGGAGAAAAAAGCAAATCTATGATGGAAATTATATCTGATATGTATACTGTGATCATAAGCCATAAACACGAACGTATTGTGTAGGATTTATATAATCGTTGCTTGCGGTGTATACATTGTAGGATTTCTTTTTCATAGTTATTCAGATTTCAAAATAACTATTATTCACTGTAATATCACATACGTTACTTAAAAGATGATTATTTTTCCAGTTTAACACAAATATGCTCTTTACATAATGAAGATAAGTATTCATTCTTTTTTTTTAATATACACGTTACTCCATATTTTATTTATTAACCGAAGGAAAGGTCGTGCAAGGTCTTTTTTTTCCAAAAATCTAAAGATTAGATTTCAATGTAAACAATACTTTATTTCACTTTTCTTATTCAGCATTTCTTGAATTAATGTTCAATCGCGTACGCAACAAGGGTCGATATTGAGCCTTTATTGTTTTGTGATAACATAAACGATATGTTAACCATTTGCGATTTGTGTCTCTAATTTAACCATTGCAGACTTAGTAGCGTGCTTTATGGATGCTTAGAAATTATTTTCTTAAAAGAGCTGGCAGCCATAAGATCGTTTCTTTAAGTAGAATTTATATTAAACATTGTATAGCCCCGAATTTCTTATCAACAAAAAACCCAGTCATAACAAATTGCATTGGGATAAAATCTTTCATGTAAGAAATAGTCCCACATGCATATGTTAAGTCCCCCCATTCATGATTAAGATTTTTACAGTAAATGCCGATGCAAATAGATACACAGGTTGTCAGCAATTTTTGAGATAAGCTAGAGCCTACTTTACTGGATGGGACCAGGAAGCGTTTGCTCTTTAATTTGATTGGCTAACAAGTGGGATATGCATCAACGTAGGTAAATCGTTTCCGTTTTTAGGTCAGACTATTTACTCGTGTTCACCTATTATAAACAAACCATAGGATATTCAGATAAAGCTTATAACTGACAGCGATAAATGTATATTATGAATATTTAAATGGCAGGCCATCTTATAGATCGAATAAAGAAATAAAATCCTAATAAAGCAAGAAATGTGTCTGCTGATTAAAATTGTAATTCTATGATTCAGTGTACCCAATGTAATTACATACATACGTACTGCACGATTCGACATAATAAGATAAGGTAGTTTGCCAGGCAACAAAACGCACTCACCTGCAGATTAGCGGTGTTTATAAAGGTTGTCACCAATCTGATATTTTGAAGCTTTGAATATAATTTCTTTAGAATCTCAGCAAGTTTCATGAACATTGTTTAGTGCAAGGAAGAGTCTTTAAACCTGTATTCTTTATGTGAAATATTAGTGTAATTATGTGCCCTGCTTTTTTTTTTAATGTGCGTGTACCTTCCTTAGACAGTACAGCGTTTGCGCCTCGTCTTTGATTGATTCGATTTTGATGAGAAAGAAGTAAAGCCATGTCGTCTTTTGTTGATTACTATCAATTTCCGTGCCTTGAGGGGAAATTCTAACTAATATTTTTGTTATGTGATGAAAGGGAATTTCCGAAAAGTTTTATCATCTACAACGTAACAATGTGTTCTTTGTTTATAGGTTATTTTTACGCAGGAAACATTCTTTGTCTATTGTACAACAATCAGTTATTGACTATATTTCCACATACAAAATGGTGCTTACATATTAAAGGTTTTATCGAGGTATACTACTGTTTAAAACTTCTTTAAGTATAAAAACAATTTACAGATAAAAGAGAAGTCTTTTAAGTAGGCGATCAGATAATTTTAGAAGACTAAGTGCCCCGTGCAATTCGGGCAAGCATGATGTTTTTTGTCATGATGGGTGTGACACGAACTCTGAATATATAATTACAAATCCGAGGTGCATTGCACACAAATAATAATTCCACCCAAGAAATATATAACAATAGAAGAGGTTTGAGTTACCTTTACTAATAATAAAAACTCGGTTACCTGTTGTTGTTATCGACACACACCTATCAACGTTATCTTTGTATCCGCATTCTTGAATTTCAAAATCGTAACAGTTTATCCGCATTTTTAAAGTTCAGTCGGAATTATATCGTTAAAAAAAATATTTTACCTTTTTAATTTTATTACTTCCAGTTGTGAAACACTGAATCTAGGGAGTCTTTCTGAAATAAGATAAATGGAGAATATTGATTTGTGATGATGCTTATAACGTTTCTACCTGCTGGAACCTGTTACCATAAAGAAACATGCTAAATAAGATCAAATTTATAAGACCGGTGCGATTTTGATAGCTTAATTTTAATGCAAAATTCGCCGAGCCATAACGACTGACATTCGGATATGTAAAGGATGTATGTAGAGGCAAGGACGAATAATAATGTCATGTATTGAAATTTCTTTTATCGTTATCTATATTATACTTATACAGAGTAAACATATCTAGTGTATAGAAATGAACCTGACAGATAAAAAAAAAACCAAAGAAACACGCTGGGTATATGTATACATTTGCGTCAGACTACGTACTGAAATACGGATATACGTTGGGGTTACCTGTCAATGTGACTTATTTCCGCGAATAACTATTTACCTATACAAACACACGCCATAAAAGGAAATAAAGAGGGGAGGGGCCATATTTAAACTAAGATAGTGTAATGCTAATATAAAACCTGTTTTTACTTAACGACGCTTGATTGAAACCAATGTTATGTTATTTTTATAAATTCTCTAGTAATTTTTTTAGTTGATGTTTATCAAGGTGTAGCCGGGTGGTATTATAACTATATCTTTATTGAAGATAGACATATAATAATTTTCCTATCTCTTTAAGTGAGTTAATCGTACACGCCCAGATACTAGTACAATATCCAAGTTATCCTCAGTTCCGCTCTCTAGTTTTCATTTCATAGGAATGTCACCTATACCTTTGGGTGCGAACTTGTCTCTTTCTTAGTAATAATATCCTATCACATGAATTTATACACCCATTTGAAAATATTATGTATGAAAAGAGGAACGAGTGTCCCGCCTAAATGTGTATCTTAATCTGATGTTATCAGTTATGTATTGTGACACCATGGCGCTTAAGACGTTCCCGTTTCAGTTCGATCCCAGGTAAGAATATATTTACTATTATTTTGTTTTTATAAGCTAAGTTTGGATACAGTATCGTTATGGCAATGATAAAATCCAGCCCGACTTAAGACGCCTGGTTGTTTGGCTATCACTCCAATTATATATATATATATATATATATATATATATATATATATATATATATATACAAGTAAAAAGGCGGATGCTGTGCACGCACAAAACAAATATTATACTTATTCAGTTTCTCCGGCGTGGTTTCCCCTTGTTTGTGGTGCAGAAAGGTGGGTCTGCGGGACGAGAAGAAGATCCGGCAGCGAATATTAGGTTGACTCTTCGCTCCAGTTATGAAGACTGGGACGTTTGCATCTCACTTCAGAAAATGATTAGAAACCGAAATAGGATCTTTAAACAATATGCAACATAGATTTAATGTAATAAAATGTTTATGGTACTCTCAGGCTGTAATCTTCAAGTTTTATTACATGGTTTATGGTTTATATATCATGAATTAATGCAGTACTACCACATTCCTTATTTGTGAATTGTTTTTTGTTGTTTTCGTTTTTTTTTGTTTTTTGTTGTTTTTTTGTTTGGGGGGGGGGGGCAATGATTTCTTTAAAATGAATAAAGAAATCACCGATGAAAATTGAGAATGTTTAAAATATACAACTGTATAGGGACCATACAATCATACTAAATATAATAGGAATCCCAATGTTGTTTTTTTGTGTTTTTTTTACATCGCAATGTGAGTTTTGGGGATAAATATTTAGCAAGGTACACCAACATAGAAATCGAATTAACACTATGTGTATTATGTCGGTACAGTATGTCGTTAAACCCCATTTCATTTCATTATGTTGGGAATATATATATAGAGAGAGAGAGAAATGGGGTTTAACGTCCACTGGACACAAACTATGTCATTTTGGGAATATAAACAATGATTAATACTAGTTAATGTAAACATGTGAATAAATATAACTGTAAACGTATAAACTGGAATATAAACATTTGAATTAATGTAAACAGTTTTAAACAAATAAACACCGGAATTAATATGTGAGTGTTTGTGGAAATATTCGAAAAACTATTGGATAATAAGGGTAGATAACTACGTCTAGTTTAGCGAGTAGCTCACTGCAGAAAATATACAGAAAAATGGCTGCCGAATAATCTTAACATCTCGTAGCAACCCAAATCCTTTTATAATTGTAGAAATCTTCCACCATAATGTATTAATAATTTATGTTAAGAATTCTTAATCCCTGCCATTCCATTTGCGGTTCAGTTGTGTAACTAACAGTGGTATTCTCCGTGGCATTTGAAGTTTTATTTTATTAAAAAATGTTTAATCTGCATTGTCCTTACTTTACCCTGTATTCTTAGTTTTGACGGATTAGCTTATTTTGCGTGTGTTCACTTCCAACGTTAAAAATAAAACCTCATTCAATGGATCGATAAAATTAAGTCTTGAACTGCTCGGACAAGACAATTTCGCTTTAGCTATTTATGGAAGCATGTAGACTGTTGCTGAATGTAATGACTTTAGGTATCCGTGTCGATAAGAAGTCCATCACGCGTACAATCTTAGAAATACTTCCGCTTTTAATGATAAGAAAACCCGGAATTTATAAGAAAGGCATTACAAAGGGAAAGGAACAATGCAGTTGCGATCAATATCTTGATGTGATCTTTGGATTTTATTTTATATTCAGATAAAATATCTGAGTGGGATTTTTTTTAATAGGATGTTGCCAGTCCTCGTCTGGGTCTCACCTAGTTTATATAATGATCATAAAAGCTTTTTTAATCGTCACAGGAATGAAATAAAACATGGAGATCATGGCCCTTATGCTTACAAATATATGATTGGGGTGTAACTGTTCGGGATACAATTTCTTAATATTAGGCAAATATTTGTACCCTTCCAATTGTTAGGACCCCCTCAAGGTCAATGTTAATAATAACGCTGAATTTGGAACAGTCGTTGAAGCTACCATGTGTAATATGTACTCTAATTGTATTGATACATGTACATCTCTTAGAACACGTTTCTTCTTGACACGTGTTCCCTTTGATAACAATATCTCATTCAAAACAAGATTCGCTGATCAATGTATTAGTCGACATAATATAGGCGTAAACACGATAAAATCAACTGCCAGGGACTTTGTCTGCTTTTGGAAATTCAGAAAAACAGTAATATCAATGAGAATGTGTTATATAAAGTGCAACATTTTAAAAAAAAGTTGACATTGCTAAATATGGGTTGTCAGGTTATAAAGGCATAGGTGTGTGTAATATTTGACCGCTATTTGGGGACCCTTTTCAACTTGTCGTGGTATTACGAGAGACATCGGTTATATTGACTGAATTAGCGGACAATGTTGTTCACTACTAACTATTAGTATACCTGTAATTAATCAGATGCTCGATGTGTGTGCGTTATATTTCAGTAACGCAGTTATCGTTTATATAACATCCATGGTGCAACAAAACCATAAGACGTATACAACATAAGTATTCGACATTTTTTACGATCATACTCGTGGTCATAAAATGGCGAGTAGTTGGAAAAGGCGTTTGGACAATGCGGAAATACTCTCAGGGCAAAATTCGACCATGGGTATTGTACACGTAATTATATAAATCGATACATATGGCCTAAGTAAAGTTAAACCCCGGTCCATTCCATTTGAGATTGCCAGTCTTACTGCAGTAATCGGTTCAATGTATCCTTGTCCAGACAATGCACTTTCGCACAAACGTGCACTCCATGACCTTCTTGCTGACCGGGTTAATTTTAGAGCACAACAACCAAGCATGTCTTTAACTTGATGAAAGATATTGAAAGCAGATTTTGGTTAGCACATGCTGCTAATAATCTTACATGAACACAAAACATCAAATTGCTTTTCGTAATTTACATATAGGTTACACCTCAATAAATTTGAAGTAGTTCTTATTTAGACTCTTTGTGAGATTGTGATGTATTTTCCCATTTTAGATTTCATTGCCTTTAAGTCACGTCAATGTTCAATAACTAGATGAAGAGTTAGGTCGGTCGTGATGAATAAAACTTTAAAAGTGAAATGTAATATTTACTGGACATAGCTACAACACGTGTTCTCCTAAGCACGGGGGAAAAGACTACTGTTATTAATTGAAATGTATAGGTGACATAATGGTATATAAAATTATATATATAAATATTATATTGTGCATCATATTATGTTAGTCTCCAATTAATGACCCATGTATCATAGTCTCTAGTTAATGACCCACGTACCATAGTTTCCAGTGAATGACGTGGGTTTTCTCCGGGTCCTCCGGTTTCCTCCCACTGCTAAAGACCCCTATGCGCAAGCGAATTATTGAAATAAAATTAACCCATATGTTAGTCCCGAAATGACCTAGTTTGTGTCGAGTGGACGTTAAACCCCATTTCTCTCTCTCTCCAGTGAATGACCCATGTACCATTAATAACTCATGTACCATTGTCTCCAATTAATAACCCATGTTTTCAATTAATGGCCCATGTGTCTTAGTCTCCAATTTATGACCCATATTAGGCCATATACCGTGCATCATGGTCTCCAATCAATAACCCATGTATCATGGTCTCCAATTAATGACCCATCTATTATGGGAACGAGACATTAAAACAGTATCAGTTTCAATATTTGGATGGGCTGAACAAAGGGCCGTGCCTCGAACCACACTAAAACTGCCCCTGCCGCCCCCCCCCCCCCGCCTGCCGCCTTGAGTCAATAACTGACTCTGCCCTATCGTACCCAAGGCGCACCCCCCCATCCCTGCCATGCCTCTCCTCCGCCCCAGTGTTGGAAGAGAATAACTGACACCGCCCGTTCTTACCCGATGCGCACGGCTGTTGGGAACATCTCCAAAAATATTCACCCCTTCAATATCAATTTATGTAATTTATAAATGTGGCGCCCACCCGCCGCCAAAGCGGAAATATTGTATACGCTAAAGATATAGACCTATGCCTCATCGACCTGTAGTCGCGAACATCTCACAATGAATAACACTGAAGCGATGTACGGCGGTATATCACCAGTATTGAACCTCTTCGATACATCAATTATTTTGAGCGCGTTCTTGACATCCGCGTTGTCAAGGAAGTTTAATCATCCCCTGCAAACTTTCAAAACGGACAAATGAATACATATAGATCTGTTTATGTTAAATAGCTATGTATATCATTTGCTCGGGTTCCGTGGCGCTCACTCTACAAATAAATGGATCTCAAGTTGTTTATAAACAAGTGTTTTCAATACGACTCCATCTCTTCACAGATTAGCCATCAACTCACAGCTGATGTATTCACCGTGTCCATGGACCCCCTCGTACCACTGTCCACCAACGTTATCTGTACCATCAACGACCTGCCATGCAGCTCTCCTACCAAATACTTTAAGTAAGTTAGTTTGTTTTTCTTTATTTTTATATAAAGATTCACGAATTTTAAACTCCAAATTCCGTTTCTCAGTCTAACTTTTAAGTAATGGTAAATTTATCTAACTTTCGAGGTAATTATTCTTTTAAATAGGAATATAATAATGCATGAAAAGTATGATGATTATTAGTTTAACTCCGCCGTCAAAGCTCTTTAGATTGTTCTAGTTCATTAATAAAATTTTAAAATTTAATCCAAATATCAAGATATATCCAGTATTTAGAAATACTATCATTGTAATTAATAAGCTCTGCCGTTAAATGTAAACCAACGCTATGTAAAAATTTTAGTTTTCTGATCGTCATGGAGCCACGGTGACTCCGTGATTAAGGCAGTAGCTCACTAACCATACCGAGAAAGTCCCCTGGGATTTTTCGTTGTGTTTTCCCCTGTCGAAGCGCATGACAAGGCACAACTACTATTCGGTTGGGATCTGTATCTCGATTTCTTCCGTCCATTTAGATCGCTAAGAACCCTAGTAAAATTCTAAATAAATGGTAAACCCTTTGAGGTGGTTCAATCGTGATGGTCATTATTAATCTATTATACTTGAGATCTTGGCCTGAATTTATTTTGAATTTTATATTTGAATTCTAAGCAAAACAAAACACTGATAGTTTTCACGTGCTATACAACCAGGATCGTGTGTGCTGTAACTTGGTAACCTGTCTTGAGAAAACAACAGTATTTGGGTACGCTTAGCCTCTCCAAAATGTCCATCATCTTTTTGCACCATAGAGATCTGTCTATTCCCTTTTCTAAAATTATTTCATGAATAAAATGAATCTTGTATTTTGGAACTGAATGTATTTTCCGGCCGGGGGGGGAGGGGTCTAACACTGTAAATTGAATCATATAATATCGTATATTCATCTTATTTCTGCATGTTAAAAAGAACTTTTTCCTTTTGTGGTACCTCTATCGCGAATGACCTGTAATCTCGTATACACCAGACTGAATCGTCGATGTACAAATGCACCGTAACATATCAGTTACATGCAGTTACGAAAGTTGTTTTGTTTCGAGCTTGACCGTATTCGCATCACGTCGTTGCTCTTGTCATTAGCTTCGCCCAGTCGGTGCAGAAAAGTAGGACGTTAAACCCCATTTCAGTTCACAGCTGTTTTTAATTTTATAGCTCGACATCCTCAAACATGGACCAAAGAAGATGTCCGAGTTTGGCTCAATTGGTGTGCTCAAGAATACGCCATAGAACCCGTTTCTCCTGATAAATTCGACATGAACGGTAAGATATATTATTATTTTGTTTGGGAGGCACCTAGAAGAATTTATATACAAAAGAAAAAAAAACCCACTAAAATACTCAAAAAATATTCATTCCTTAAGATCTTGCAAATTGTTCGAGATAACATTGATAAGGTGCCTGCGCAGTACCAGAATCCATTCCTCTTAAAAATGGACTTTCTGGCATCAGCCTCAATTTTTGGTTAATGAGACTTATTAAAATGATAAAAAAGGGGATTCGTTTTTTCAATATTTAACACAAAAGGTAGGGAAGTTATTCTTCCAATTAAATGTGGTATTATAGCATTAGGAATCAACTCGCTTATCGCCTCATTTCTCTTTAAATCGGTGTACGTTTTAATATTATAGTCCATACTACAAATGCCACCAATCGACGATATCTTTTACTTCCCAGCACCTAAAAACATCCGTTTTTTTATAAGTTTCACGGGTGTATTAAATAACATAGAGAGAAAGAGGGTTGGGGTGTAAGCCCGCTAAACACAAAGTAGGAAATTTCGGGACTATAATATGGTATATCTTTATTAGATTTAAATGATTCGCATGTGCTTAGAGGTCTTTACCAGTTGTACGAAACCGGAGGACTCGGAGAAAACCCACGAGGCTAGGCAGGCGGTACCCTTATTGTCAGACTTTACAGACGTTCGTGTTAAACCACTCGCCCACCCCTTGAATTAAAATAATATATATTTAATTCAATAATAGATAATGTTCATTTTATTTCAGGGAAAGCACTGTGTCTGTTAAACCGTAAAGATATGATGGACCGGGATCCCCAGTCTGGTGACATCTTATTCAATGCCTTACAACAAATAATTACTAAATCCGAAGGTAGACTATCACTTCTATCAATATTTCTTAAAAACATGTAATTCAAATATCTCTGGAAAAGGTTAATCCAAATCCCCCAAACGTTAAGGCCCGATTTCCACGTATACGCGATTTCGCGTCGTTTCCTCGCGCGTTTTCGCCGATTACATGGAAACGGTCCCATTTGCATTAGACCGACGTAGGCGAAAACGCGTACATGGAAAACGGACCTAAATGGGGAATGCTGAGCTGGAAAAGAAAATCTAATTGCATAAGACACGTTGTGCATTTAATAGAAATAGTCTGTCTCTTCCTATGATTCGATGCCTGTGAATTTTTAAAAGCATTGCAACCGCATGCTTTTAAATTTACGTAATTTATTTCAAACAACAACGGTTTTTGCTAGGTTGGCTATGGAAATAAAATTAAAGATATTACGAATGCTGAAGAATCCTGAAAAACGGATTTTATCTTTTGTGTGACATATTCCCGACACAGAAAAAAAACGGAAGGAATATTACCTGAATTTTTTAATTGTTACGTATCACACTGTTTAAACAAATTGCATGTTGACGTAAACTATTCGCACATTTTTGGTTTTTAAAAGGGTTTTAATGCGACAGGACGCCTGCGTACTTCCGCTTTAGCTACACGATACCTTTCTTAATATTCCCTTGAGGTAAACTCACATTTTAACAGGATATTGACAATTTCCTAACTGTTGGTGTATCGCGCAAAGGTTATGGAAAATAATGGCATTTGAAGGTATGCTAAAACAAAGGAAACGAAAACTCGGTCATTCCCGTATACGCGCAAGTCGATGACGTCAATGACAACCTCAAAACAACAATTATGTCCCAAAAAAGCGGAAAAAGGTCGGCAGATTTAGCAAATATCCTTTCATTATAATTGTTACAACAATTACTGTTTACACGTCTACATCTCTGATTGACGACTAACATTACGAAATGGTTCTAGGAAATAATTACGACTTAATTTCCTCGATTAGCGGACCCGACAGGAAAATAGCGAGATTCTCTGTCGGTTGATTGACGTCAGGCAATCGACTGAAATACTCTATGTGGATAGTTAGAGCTACACGTTACTCGATCATAATTGTTACCTAGTCCCAGACTGTAGTTTTATAATGTGCTGATTATTATAATGGGACCGTGGAAAACCAGGAACTTTCTCCCCATTTCCGTGATTTAATTATAGCATCGATTCAAGTCTAGCTACGCGCGTGGTTCCTTCCGCTTTAAATGTAAATTTTAGACCCTTTAAGGGTAAATAGGGGTTAAATTATACAATTAGAGAATGAAAGCGTTGTTCCACCATATATTAGTATTGATTATTGAAATTAATTATTAAAATATATCAGTTTAAGACAATACATGATAACCATCTATTGTTAAAAGTGCCAGAGTTCTTGGGATTGGGTTGGTCTGTTATATTGTATCCATTAGTGAGCTCTATACGATAAAATGTTTTGTTTCGAAAGATAAAGTGGCTTGTTTACAACGGTATCGACAGTGAAGCACAACATCAGATATTTCTTAATACCGCCTTTATGTGTACGCGTAAAACTTTTAACGAAGACAGAATCATATCTAACAATACAAGTCAACAATATATTTTACCCAAATCGGTGTTGTCTAGTTATCTTAACACTGTAAATCTTTCTGTTAATTTTATAGGGCCATTTCTTCACGCGTTAAAAATGGTCCTGTACCATGACTTAATTTTATACAATGATTGAAACGATTTACCTTATGCACCCGGTTCTTTGGTAATTTTCGATAATTGCCGGTTTACGAGATTACAGAGAGATGTGCAGCTAAATTATATGTATATACATCTTTGTTTAGATAATTATAATATTAACATAAACAATGACCGATATACATACACGTGAATCTTCTACACGTTACTGTATGTTGCCTGCCAGTAAAGCCACAATTCTTTTGCAGGCCGCTAAGTCAATGTCGTCTTTCTTGATTTAGATAATTTGTCGTGCCGATATTACCTTTCTCAACTTTATATCGATTATTTCTGAAGTTATTATAGTATTCGGAGGAATCACATTATCCAGCCACAACTATGAAATTCCGGCATATAGCTTCAATCTAATTAAAATTGTTGGATAATTCTATGTTTTTAAAACTGTTTCTTTATCCCTCATTAATTTGTTCTCTTTGAAAGCACTTTTTTGCGTCACTGATTGGGTAAATTACGTTTTCATTGGCTAAATGGGGATGGGGTCAATTCATATCAGATGAGAGAGAGAGAGAGAGAGAGAGAGAGAGAGAGAGAGAGAGAAATGGGGTTTAACGTCCACTCGACACAAACTAGGTCATTTCGGGACTAACATATGGTTTAATTTTATTTCAATAATTCGCTTGCGCGTAGGGGTCTTTAGCAGTGGGAGGAAACCGGAGGACCCGGAGAAAACCCACGAGGTTAGACAGGCGACCCAACTCCTTGTCACGTACAACCGGGGATTCGAAACCACGCCAGTCGACTCAATGACAGACTTTATGATACAGCGCGCGCACGCTAACCATTCAGCCATCCAACCCCCCTCATATCAGATGGACACAAATTTATTAAAGACAATATTAGGCTGTATTGCAGTATAAATATAAATGACATAAAAACGAAATGGTAACAAAACTGGAGTGCAAAGAGCAAACGCCCTTTAATTGAATTTTGAATGGGTAGGGCTTCCAGCATGGATGAGCTATTCTGTGATTATGGTATGGTGGATATTTATTTATTGGATAATTAGCTTGTATCTAAATAATTTAAAATGAGGAATGATATATAAACGTAGTCATTGGGACCAACCAAGTCGCAACACAATCCCACACCACCAGCCTGCTCCCTCACACCAACCCCAAGTAGGTTCCTGTTTGGGCAACAGTCTGCTACCTTGTTATTAAAGGAAGAAAGCTATATGTAGATGCTTTGATTGTTATCAGTACTAATTGAGGGGATTGTAGTATAGAGGAAGCGGATATCTTATTCGCATATATTAAATATTCTCTTATCTTACTGTCCCTCGTGTGTTTATTACACAATTCAATAGACTCTTTGTATTCCGTTGCACGCAAAGTCCCTTACAAGTATTATTGAATTCATAATAAACTTTGCTTTAACTTCCGTCAATCGCTATATTGGCTACCGACATGTTGTATTGCTTCCAGTTTTGAGCCAATAAACTTCTGAGTTAGGACAGGACTTAATTACGACAAAATGACGAAAATCTCTAGTGTTGGTGGGCGAACACCAGATTACTAACCAAAAATCGGAGTGTCAGTGGTGATTTGTGCCGCATATATGGAACCGAATATAACATTCAATATGATCAGCTACATCACCCCAAGCAACAAAATGCTCAAATTTACGCGTTTTATAGAAACAGAATAATATTTTTAAAAAATATGTCACTTAGTGGGGTGGGTGGACCGTTTCGGTTACCTGGATAAGCAACTGTGGGTATCCGAAGAAAAGCTAGAAGGTTAAGTATGCTAGGATCTATAAACCATTCGGCTCACTATAAATACGCCCCCCCCCCCCTTTCCTGCTTCCAAGAAAGGATCAATTATCTGGAAGTTTCTGTTCTTGTGCGGTCTTTTGTACTAAAACTGCTATTAGCCGTCTTTCAGTGCGATTTATTCCTAGATTCGTACAGACCAGGTGACTTTAATCCTCATCGTTAATTATAACAATAACTTATATATCAAGGATTGTCTGCTTGCGGATTTTCTGCAATTTAAATATCACGATAGTATATTTAAACAAAGACATAGATAGATTTACCTTTTCATATAAGCTGACACATCCGTGTGTAGGTATATAACAATGATACAAGTAATAAAATTCATGTTATATTATATACAGGGAGGTGTACAACTAGAAAATGAGTATTGGCGTTTAAGTCTATAAAATCGTCTGCTATCGCGTATATACATTTACGACACAGATAGGGCTATAAACCAATGGGTGCCACATTTTAAATAAGGATTGTTTGCAAAAATAGGTGTCAATATCGGCAATTTTGGTCCAGGGGTTGCTATTTTGTTTGACGTCATGTTTATATCCCTTGTGGTGATCCAAATTCGGCCAACTTTTAATGTTGTTTTCTGGACCAAGTTCAACAGGAAAACGCCATAAAACGTTCTCTTGCAACTTTTTAAGATTATTCTACATAATGATCATTCTGTATATCTTTAACAGTAATGTCAGTTACTTATTATTTTTCTCTATATTATTATTTCAGTGCCTTTACCTTTTCCATTTACCCCATATCCACTACGCCTGCCCGCTGGAACAAATTTTCCAGTACCTCCAGTTAGTCCGTCACCAGGTAAGTAATTACTGCACAGCCTTATACATTTTTAATAAACTTATATAAAAATTCATTACGGAAAGATAATATTTTGTATTATTATTTTCATATAGTTTCAACTTGTTTTGTTGGATTAGAAGATTTGTTAAACCAAATAAAACACTAGCGTCTAGTTATTCCACCGGTAGTATTTATTGCGCATGCTCTTTACATAAGAATATGGCGTCACGCCGTCACCGTTTGACACGACTTGTGGAATATGTCTAGCTTCGTCCTTCGAGTCCCTTGTTACAAATGGCGCTGAAACGCATTCCGGTACACGACTCGTGTACCAATGGTAAACTGTTTATTTTGTCTTAAATATTAGATATCAGAAGCTCATTATTTCTCGGTAAGATCACAACATCAATGTTGATTTAAATTGACAAATAATTCGTGTCTTGAATCTCGAAGGCTATGGATGATATTGAGTTAAAGACTTAGCTACTTTAAGTGTGGCTCGTGTTATAATAATAAGATTTGGGGTGATTCTCATATTTAAAATCCAACCGGGTCAAGTGTTTAAACATATTGTAAAATACTGCTTGTTTTAAAAGTTTGTGAGTTGGGATTTTTCGGACATTGGGTCAATTTTGTGAGTGATTAGTGCAGCGCATGGTCAAAGTTATTTGGGACGATTCATCTCAACTATGTCCTTACATAGGACTAGCCCCGATAACCAGCGCTAATCGAGCCGTGACGCAGGAACAAGCTTGGCGTTATTTAGTTCAGGTTATCCAGTCTAGCATTAGCCACACTTGATATAAAATTTTAGACGATTTGAAATAAGTTATATTGTGATATTTTTCTCTTTATTTTCTCTTTAAGATTTTAGTCAAAGTGGATTATTAGTATTATCTGGTAATACGACGCAGACGACATTTTCAACCCCAAGATCGACGCCATCTTTTATACCTATCTTACCCCAACCTTCCCACCAGCATCAGCCTTCGCCTTGTCAGGCTCAACAAGAACCAATCTCAGCAGTCGTTACATCCGTACCAGGTAGTCGTAAAGATAAAAATCTTTTCATCTTTTACCTTTCAACTGAATTGGCGGGGTTTTATTCGATATCCGGTTTTGATCGGTCTCTTGCCTTTTTTTGTTATAATATAAGTGGTATTTTCGTAACATTTTCAGGTAAAATGGTATCCTACACAAAATACACAGTATTCAGTAGGCCAAATAATATATAGGAAATGAGTAATAAAAAAGGGATATAAATAGACAACAAGTAAAGCATAAAATCAAAAATGATGAACAACTGGGATGTTAGAACGAAAAATAGCAGGGATAAAAAGCTCAGGGATAAATCTTGGCTATTATAAAGTAGGCACTAATTGAACACCAGAAACCAAATGCATTGGCAGTCGATTTTATTTCTTTCTCTGCGGCCTCATATTATCGGAACCGAACCAATTCGGGTATGAGCCAAACCGGGTTCGAATCAGAGACGGACTGGAGGTCCGTGGCCCCTAAGCCTTGCCCAGTAACCCAGACCCCCACCATGTTTCTAGCTTATGTACAAATTTAGCCTGTACATGGTGAGAACATTAACATTTTAGGAGACCCCGCGCCTAATATACCCACAGGCTCAGAAGTAGGCCGAGAAGAATCGTCAGACGAGCATGTAAATCGATAAGATTCGTCTGCTGTACGTTGAAGCAAGCTTACACACAAGACGACATAATCAAGACCGACATTAAATTTTGTGCAACACGGTTCGCAACAGTATCAATTTATTTATTTGGAAGGGAAATGGGATATATATAGCGCACATCGGGCTCTCTTGGCTTCAGAAAAAACATAAAAACGAGTGCTTATATACTTGGGTTTATTAAATTGGGTTTTTTTTTGTATTTTTCTACAATATCAATTCATTATCTGGATGGGGAAAGTAGCACGAACTTCGTTGTAACACTTATAATGCCCGGGGTAATGTCAAGGTCGTTGTCAGGAAATCGTGAATTGTGTCAATTTTGTTTTTCTTATGAAAATCCCCTAGAGCATCTAGAGCAAATGTATAAACCGAAAAGAACAGATCAGCGACCCTGGTTTTCAAAAGTCCTGTGTCTTAAATTTAACCGAAATTTGTATTAATATTGGAGAAAAACGGATATTACATATGCTCACGATAGCTCCCTTCATATCATCCAAGATGGTGACACCTTTGTTGGCCAGTTATTTTTCACGGGCTTCACAAATGGTCAATTATATGATATAACGAATGCTAGGATGATAAATGTCTAAACCACAAGATGGTGCTGTATACCAAACAGTATAAAGGTGGCTACTTACAAATCTTGATCAATAATGGTGATTAACAATATAAATAGCTACAAGTCAGCGGTATTAATATCCATATCTATAATTGACATTGTCGTCCTCGCAATCATGTTGACGTATGCTCACGTGGCCGCGACTGAAACCGAAGATGTTTATAGTCTCCGGGCGCACGGCGCGAAGAAGGCTTGAACACGTTTTATGATTCACGTGGCATCTGTCTGAAATAGGAAGCGAAATTATTTTAATCGGTAAATTTAAGCCATACTTATATTTTGAACAATACTAATATAGCAGATTATTAAGAAAACAACTCATCCAATGTCAGCTAATCCAGTAATACAAGAGTTTATTGAGAATACTCAATAGCCATTTACATCTTATAGCTATTATTAAAATTAAAGATTTAGCGTTTCAATTAAACTTCATCGATCAGATAATACAGTAGTCTTTGTTTTATCGGATATGAAAGACAGGGCGGATTAATCAGACTTAAAGAAAATCCATTGGGGGAATTGGGACCCTGCGTACCTACCCATCACGTCGTTAGCTCGGGCATTGCGGTATCACTGATTTGGAACCAGACTTTAAACCTCCAAGAATTAGACAGTCGGTCCCTGTTTCGGGGTTTCTTTTTACATTTTTGAAATAAAGTTGGTCAAAGACGAAACCAAGTAGATAAATCAGTCAATAAATCATTATGCCTTCATTTTTCTTCTATATATCTATCAACATTTTAACCACTCGAACTTCTTCTTACGGTGTCTATGACTATATTATATTATCATAACTTGGGAATTGACATGCCAATGCTCTAGGAAAGCTTGGAAATAAATTTGCAAATGTACAAGGAAAGCGTGAAAGTTAATGTAAATGTTTTATATATTTTAGAGGGTGTATTAAGTCCAGCGCCGACCAGTACAGATACCGACAGTGCCCCTTCAGATGGTGATTCTAATATAGACGGTAAGTGGTCCTTAAAAATCCTATCTTGATTAAACCTCTGTTTCTATCTTGATTAAACCTAAGCTGCTTTTGTGAAGTGGTGAAACTTTGGTCTCAAAATAATTTACTGGAATTGAATTAACATTAACCATGTGATATTCCATTGCATTAGGTTGATGAAAAGCACGTCTTTCTTTTAAATTATCAAACTTAGGTTTATCTGAAGACAGCCATTGGACATAAAACAACATAACAATCGAAGTCTGAAGTTGGCATAAGAATTAGGTGAAGCGGATCAAAACGATGAAAATTTTAATAATATCACTACATGTTTCGACCCTAGTCGTTCAGTAGCGTATTGGTGGGTTGACTTGTTATCCCCGAACAAATCAAACCTTTTCTTTTTGGCTTTGTGTTGTATATGGTTTTAAAATAAATTGGATTCGTTTTATTTATCTATCTATCTATTTTATCAGAAATGGATCTTCAAGAATCTGATGTAAGACGAGTTGATTTAGAAAGTAACAGTAATTATTATGATGAGGCCTTCAGATTAAAATGTGTGGCGACATTAAAGAAGGCAGAACCAGGTACACATATTTAATTTGAAAAACTAAAATAAAGTGTTTTTAAATTTGAAATTGTCACTATTATCTTTTTTGAAGAGGCTGTCCTATAGTTAATTTAAGTAAACAGGTTATTGCATCTGATTTACATCTTCCTTTCTCACGATTCTCAGTACTATGCTTGCGTCTTGGTGGTATACAATCGAGGAGTTATCCCCGGGCATCACCAAGCTTCTGCACTGCACTGCTTTCAGACACCTCAATATGAGCTATAAACGCTTAAAATAACGTCGACCACGTTTCTATCCTTCCCATAGAGTGTATTAGAAATAAGTGAACCTGCTTCAGAGAGATAATTCGGTAATATTCCCAAATATACAAGTACATGTAGTACGATCAGCCAATACGTGTATTTAGTATTTTAAATAAAAACTAAGAAAATTCTAGTAGATTCCAAATGTAGATTTTACGGGAAATTAATATCCACAAATCATTTAAATGTCTGTCTTATTTGCTGGTTTGTTTCAGATTGTCGCTTACTTTGGGAATTCATTCATCAGCTTTTAACAGACGCTAAATACAAACATTTAGTTTGCTGGGAAAACGTCAGTGACTTGGTTTTCCGTATCGTCAATCCGACAGGTTTAGCCGAACTCTGGGGACATCAGAAGAATCGTACGAATATGACATACGAGAAACTATCCCGTGCTTTACGATACTATTATAAAATGAACATCATTCGTAAAGTTCCCGGCAAGCGATTAACTTACAAGTAAGTAAATGAAATATTTTTCTGAAGTGTTTATTTGGCATAAGTCGGTGTTTCTTAAGGACGAGTTTGCACAATGACTTTTCTTGGATATTCACCCGTATTCAAAATGTTCACTTATTTAGTTGCCGTTCATCGTGTGTGTATTCAAAGCGTAATGTTTTATCTTTTAAATTATTTGAATTATATACAGGCCACACCCAAAGCCTGTCGATGGGTTGCGTGCTACATATCTCATGGGAAGAGATGCAGAATCCCTCATTCCACTCGCTCTGCACGCGTAACCAAAGACATAAAAATTACCATGTTAGTCTCAAAATGACAAGCCGGCTCTTGTTTTGAAGGGAAAGGACTCAGGTGTCACCAACGGATCGTGACTTCGACCCCACGATTGCACATTACAATCGTCGGCCAAACTTCGGCATTCTTCGGATTTCAGTCATTTTGTGTTAAAAGAGTTCTCTACAACAAGACTTAGTATTAATCTATTTATTTTCAGATTTTTGCAACATCCAAGCACCATCCGTAAAGGACAACGGGGTGCTAGACCTCATGCTAAGACGAATCTCATGTTACAAAACGGCATCAATGAACCAAAATCGGAGCCATCGTTAGACGTCGGTCTACCAAGATTAGCCATCAGTGATCAGCAGTCACATGACCACATACCGTCACCAAGTCATATGCCCAGTCAAAGTAGACGGTTAAGTCCTGCCACATTAACATTACCAGATAGGCATTCCGAAATGATGCCACCGCCGACACTATTTAGATATAACGAGACACATTCAAATATCCATTTCGTCAAAGGTGAAATTCCAATTCAGGACGAACCCGAAGACTTATCGTTTAAGAGAGAGTCGCGTAACGTCATTGATAATGTAGACAGATCTCAAGGACACATGTGTCAAACAAACTTTCAACAAGAAGATGGCGGTATGTCGGAAGACAACTCGAGTCGTGAACGAGAAATTGGTATTAAAATAGAAGTTACTGCTTGATATTCGGACTGCTGGGCGCCTTTATCTGTGAACTAGCATGTGAAAAATAACTGAAGCTTCAGCGCATACGATGCATGACCATGTTACTCGGCTATTGTGTCTCGAATGACAATTTTACAGCATTTTTTGAGAAGAGATGTCAAAGAGGCACTCTTTAAAAAGATAGTAATTTTTATGGGGAGATAACTCTCGTGTGGGCTGTGCTTTAATATATAACCTTTCATAAAGGTATCGATGATTGATGTAAGTACGCATTCCATGTCCTTCTATAAGCAAAGGATTCCTCGCCTTTTAATTATGTGATATAATAGATCATACAATTCAAAGCAAGGGTGTGCCTGTGTAAACAGATTGTTGTCGTACTTGGAGGCCTGTGTTGTGTGTTTGGGCCATATTATGTTGTCATTATTTGTTTATCATAATATTATATATATATATAGCCTATATAATGTTAAAGGTTGTTGTTAAGCTATTTACTGGGATGTTATTAAAATTGTTATCTTGAAATCCTCTTCCTTGTCTGTTCTTAAAAAAGAACTTAGGCCAATAAATTTGCGACAAAGATCGAGCAATGTATAAGACATTCAGAAGGGCTATAACAACATTATAGCATTACTCTTTACTCTATAGAGATCTACAATCTATTATCTTGACATGGTCGCCTTGGTAGAGACAGGCAGATAGCATTCTGACTGATCCAGGAAAAAGATCCTGGAAGTGTTTGCCACTGGCCGTTATGTAATGGATTAATATTATGGTATTGGAGTTTTGGTCAAACTCGTACCCAAATACAACAGTCACACTTAATGTGGCTGTCAAAATAATAATTTAAGCTCATAAATGAACCGTAAAAGATGAATGCTAGGAAGGGTAGGGCAAGAAAATACAGACAACGTAGGGCCCGCCGCCAAGAACTGCTCAGTTTGTTCGTTAATACACTCAAAGCCATTAAAAACGCAATGCCAAATTCAAAGTTTATTTACTGCAACAACTTTTAACAAATGTACATAACAATTGACAAAATCGAGATAACAAGCATCTGTGGATAATTTCATGAAAGAATTCATTACAAATGCACAAATCCGAAACGTCAGAGAACCATGAAACAAAGCAGGGGTCAGCTGAAGTCAATATCGGGTATGTCTACTCTGAGCTCTTACACATGTCTGAAGTCGCCTTGGCATGGACTGGCACAGATGTCTCACTACACGCTGTGGGATTGTTTGTCAATGATTTTAGAGTGCCTGTGCCAACTCTGCAACAGTTCGTGGTGGCACGGCGTGAGTTCGAACCCGTCGTCCAAGTTCATCCCAAAGGTGTTCGATTGGGTTCATGTCGACGTCGGTAGATACGTTGACGTCCATCAGGAAAATTGAGGTTGAATCGGGATTCAACAGAGAAGATGACATTTCGCCATGGTGTGCTGTGCAGATACCCCTGATTTGCGGTCCATTGCTGTCTGGCAAGTCGATGACGATGCAAAAGGATTTGACCTTGGTAAGGTCGACGGCAGCAATGGTCGATGGGTGGACATTAAAGTGTCTGGCGACGGCTACCTGTTTTGCCCCCTGATCCAGCATGCCAATAGCTCTGTTCCTGTTTTCTTGTATAAGGCGTGGCATTTTTCCGAAGTGATGAATTTTGATCTATATTTAAAGGGCCAGAGTGCAGGGAATGCATGTGCAAAACGTGTGACATGGGACTGCTTCAAATCGTGAAAAAAGACAAGTGTTACGTTTGCACGAAGAACGTTCATTGCCGAGAACTGATATTGGGTTCAAACTCAGAACTCCACAAAAAGAGACCCATCACAAGTTTCACCTATGTGCCATAATATAGGAAAGCCCAAGAAAACGTTTACCAGAAATATTTCACGAATAAGGCATTGCGTTTTTAATGGCTTTGAGTATATATTCGCTGATGCAGTTCTCCTAAATTCTGAAAGATTGACACCGCGGATCAAACAACAAAAAACAATCCGACAGGCGCCAGTCGGTGAAATTGTCGGGCGGAAAAATCTGTCTCATCACTTTTCGGAAATCATTACTTATGAAATAGGACAGTGCTGCAAGGAATGACGAAGAGGCACTCAGACTGTCCTGTGCAGCTTGGCAAGGAAACGGGACACCTGGTCATCTCGTTTGAGTTATTCCAATTACAAAAGACTCTAACATGAAAGAATCTTACCAAATAGTGAACCCCGCGCCTCATCTAGTTCTGGTAATCCCAATAACAATATTGAACTCCAGGCAAGCCAAATTTTGGACAGCTATACCCGGCCAATAACCAGACGATAGGCATGAACCAGAGAGGGGTTCGAATTTTTGTTTGGCTACAAAACAAATTACTTTCAACTCTGATCACGAGCTATCTTTACGGGGTGTTCGATAAAAGGTTACATAACTTTCGCTGGTCGCAGAACATCTGAAATTGCGCCTATTTAATTCTTAGTCAACAAACAAATGGAATGAAATGATGTATAACGTCCATTTCTACACCAACCTGGAAAATTTCTAAACCAACGGGCTTACACCATATATGCCATTCTATGTCAAGTAAACCAAATTCTAAGGAACTTGTCGGGTGATCCCCTCAAAATGAATGGGGTGGGGAGTGAACATAATAATCATTATTATTATTATTACAGCATATTAATAGTGCGCCCTTTCATATAACATGTTCAGGGGCAATTTACAAAGTGACAATGTAATCATAAATAAACAACACGATTATGGACATGTTAACGATTGTATACTGAGTCCGTTAAAAGCCTGATTAAATAAATGTGTTTAAGTTGTTTTTTAAAGAATATAGAGATGTACAACATCTTAAACTAAATGGTAGATTATTCCATAAAACAGGTGCTTCATAACTAAAAGAGCGCTGATCATCAGAGACTAGTTGAACAGTTTTGGGCTTTAAAAGTAGTTTATCTGATGTACGTAATGTTCGGCCAGGTGTATAAAGTTCTAAGAGATATGAGAGGTATAAAACAGGAGCTAAATTATTTAAACATTTAAAAGTAAGTAATACAATCTTAAAATTAATTCGATATTTTACAGGTAACCAATGTAAATTATATAAAACAGGAGTTTTGTGATCACATTTCTTAGTTAAAGTACCAAGTCTAGCTGCAGCATTCTGTACTTTTTATAATTGATCTATCAGCTTTAAAAGGAAAACCAACTAAAAGTGAATTAAAGTTATCTAACCGAGAAGTGACCAGAGAATGAACAAGTGACTTAGTGGCCTGTACAGTTACAAATTTACGTATTTTACCTATATTTCTGATATTAAAATAGCGCAATTTACACATATTATTTACTTGAGCTCCCATAAGCATAAATCTATCGAAGATTGCACCAATATTACGAGCAGAATAAGATGAAAATATATCACAATTACCAATTACAACAGGGGGGTTATCATGTGCAAATTTACTTAATTGATTTCTTGAGCCTAATAACAAATATTCGGTTCTATCATCATTCAATTTTAGAAATAAAATAAAACCAAGTACGAACAATCTAAGCCATTAGACAAAATTCGAAGTCCTAAAAAAACGGTATAGGCAAAATGGTGTAATCAGCAAATGGACTGTTCGCCGTGTACAAAAGTTCTTTGACATCCATTTTCTAATTTCGCTAATACAGTTCTCAAGTTGCAATTTTGATAAATTGAAAGAAGATGAACAATTAGGTGTAAATGAAATATATAATTGAGTATCATCGGCATACAAATGAAAGCTGAGACCATATTTTCTGACAATATCACCTAATGGTGACGTATAGACGGACCAAGAACAGAACCTTGGGGAACCCCAGATGACAAAACAGATTCAGACGACGATTTACAATTAACTAAAATACACTGTTTTCTACCCACAAGATAGCTTTCTAAAAGATTTAATGCAGAGCCACAAATACCGAATTTAAATTGAAGTCTACCTAGAAAAATGGAAGGGTCCACCGTGTCGAAAGCAGCAGATAAATCTAATAAAATTAAAAATGTACATTTTCTATTATCAAGCTTATTTGAAAACGTTGGGAATAGAAGAGGATGATATACAAGAATTAATAATATTGGAAAAAATTGGAATAACTTCGTCTAGACAGTCCTTAAGAACAGGATTCGGAACTGGATCTAATGAACAAGATTTAGGAGCAGACGATTTAATTAGCTTTAAAACAAAAGATTCACTAACCAAGTTAAAATTTTCTAAATAAACAGAATTTTCTAACTTATCAAAATCATAAGCGTTAAAGTCAATAGTTTTTATTTAAACCATCAAGTTCAGTTCGTATTTTCTGTATTTTTATTTGAAAGACATCAGAGAATAAATTCGCAAGTTCAGTGTCATTATCATTGTCCGGGAGAATAATCCGCTCAGCATTATGATCCAAAAGGCAATTCACAACTTTATACAGTTATTTTTGTCTGTTTTCGCCATTTTCTATTTTATCAGAGTAAAATTTAATTTTAGCGTCTTCAATTAATTTATTTATTACGGTCCCTTCTGGCTTCTAAAATAGAACCTTTAAACCACTGCGTATTGGGACGAATAGTAAATGTTTTCGTTTGAAGAGGCACAAATGAGTCCAAAATTTCAGCAAGCTTAGAGTGATATTGGGTTGCCTTCTCTTGTATATCTTGAATACGTTGAATGTCGCTATTTCCGCTTTAAATTTATGAGTGTCAAGTGATTTAAACCTTCGATATGTTACAGTCTTTCTTGTTGGTTGTGGTTTCTGGATCTTATGATTAAAACTTGCCAAGAAATTATCAGATATTAATTTGTCCGAGACAGAGAGATTATCCAGTTTAATATCACATGGATTGGTTATCACCGGATCGATAATATGTCCACCGTTATGCGTCGAAGTAGAAACATGTTGTGTGAGAGATCTATTATTCAACATTTCACAAAAGTCAACCGCGATAGAGTCAACATGAAAATTACCCCCCCCCCCAAATAATTAGGGGATTATTAGAAAACTATAAAAATACGGGTTATAGAAGCGATGCGAAATCATGAAGTTGTTGTTTTCTAAAGCGGTGGACACATTAGCCGAATTATTCGGCCGAATGGGTAGACACACTAGGTGAATGCCACACTGATCAGCAATGAATATTCGCTAGTCCGCTACAATCACTGATAAGGATGACACCAATGCGAATTAATGAGTCTCAAATATTAACTTTTTTTCCACCGACAAATTAAATTCTAAAACTTTTTTTTGATGTATTAGAAAAATAAATAAAGACGTTTGACGAATTTGTAGGTAAAAATTATTTTCTATTTAGTGTAAATGGGTATTAAAATGACTAAAAGGCAGCATTCTGCCCGAAGCAGTAACGTCTTATGTAAACAATGCACGCGCCATTCGGCCAATGATTGACGCCGAATGCTGTGACGGCACGTGATAAAGGCAGTCATCTTTTACAGAGATATCAAAGGACTCGTAATTCTCTGTGAAACAGATTGGGCGAATGCTTTACCCGATTCACCAGTCGATTGCATTGTCTTTCACGTCACATGATTAAACATGGTGGCGTCTCATCCCAAACTTACGCTGCCTGTCTACAGCTAGCTCCGCCTGAGAACAGGTCCCCGAGTTCACAAAGCATTCTCAGACTTAAATGTAAGTTGAGAATTTGCTCAACTTTTAATCACTGTTTATGAGAAATATCTTTGATCCAGAAACACAAAACTTTGCACAGTTTCTTATTGATGTATTTCATACATTAAAACAACAAAAGTTTTATTAAGGGCTATATTTTAGTTAAAATAAGGCAAACAATTTTGAGTAAATTCTTGCCTTAAATCTGAGAATGCTTTGCGAACTCGGGGACTGCCCCTAAGCTAATTAACCGACATTTTAATTCCTACATCGACGATTTTAGTCGAAAACACTGAGTATGCTTTTAGAAATTTTTAGAAGTATTTATTTCTCTTCTATTTTCATATTGAATGAAATTAAATATGATTATTTAGCCGTTGTGTGTATGAAAGATGTCAAACTGATCAGAGCGGAATCACAAAATAGTCCACTGATTATTCAACATGGCGGCGCCATGAAAGATAATTTCACAGAAGCGGTTTTGTTTGCGAAGACAAATTTAGGAGTATCTAACCTTGTTTTGAAAGATAAACTGATTGAACCTGTAAAGACTGTTTACAGTGGTAAAGACTGTATTGCAATATTACTAACGAGCACATATTATATATCGCTTTTACCGGAGTGGCAAAAGTTGACATTTTCGCTAACTTGACATCTGTTTACATAAACCATGTGCTTCGGGTGTACAAAGCAGTGCCAGTTCTCGAAGTATGACGTAGATGGATCGCTGCGTGCAGTATGGGTGGCGTCTATGTCTTCAAACAATCACGTGACTTCTCGATATGAATGGATGATGAGTGATGATTGGCTAATGAAATGAATTCTAAATTCGGGCGCATGCTTCGGCGAAGTGGACACACTAGGCGAATTTAATTCGCTCAAATGAAAATATCAAACAGTGGACACACTAAGCAAATTTCGACGCCGATTGATTGATTCAGCCGAACGATTCGGCTAGTGTGTGCACCGGTTAAGTCATGGTATATCCTAGAGATCTTTCATTAAAAGTAGGCCTATACATACGTATTAATCCAACATTCGGTAAATATAGACACATCGGATTTGAAACATGAATAAAATTACATTCTAACCTGGTGGCTCAACGGTTTTACTCGCCTAATAACCTGGAGGTCCTAGATTCGATCCCGGTTTTGACAAATTCCCATTCCATTATTTGTAAAGATGAGAATTTCAGGCCACAGTAGCCTACAATATATGTAGGCCTAAACATCATAATATAGCAGATATTCCAAAATAGTCATGGATAACGGTTTCGTCAAATTTAACCCGACGCTGACAAACGTGGAGGTAATTACGTTCCGTGTTTAGTAAGTAATATAGTCTAGTTGTACTAGCCTAACAGTAACTCAGCGAACTTGACTTTCATTAGAGACAATCTTCACAAAGTCTATGAGGAAATAATACGTTTTGAAAAGCTTCAGTGTGATTAAAGTTTATGTTTTTCCCGTAAAATCGTGCTTCTGCGCCGAACTTGAAAGACGAGTTGTTTTTAATGTTCCAAAATGGTGGAATATATCAGGAAACAGACAACTGCGCATGTCAAACGGAAGTGACGGCTAAATAGTAAATAAAGTAAAGAACCGTCGGACGGCAAAATATACACTTCGTATAGGAAATCAATGAATGCTATTATTATATGTAGACCTAGCATGCTGTCAAAAACACGTATTCTTACATGTTTTGCCCACTATTTCTTGGGCGCACCTTCTCTTCAATGTCCGGTCGAAATAGGTTTTTGAAGATGTATACCACAAGCATGGCCTGTCTTGCCGTAATTCTATATAATGTAATTATCGAAATCATCGAAGTCGTTCGCTTCCATTTTGCCTATTTACACTGTCACGTGACACATTTCTCTTATCACGTGATGCTATTTCCATGAAAGAACGCGCATGTCGACGGCCTAGTTGCAGAAAGTTGAACATGTGCAACTGACTGCAACTAGTTGCTTTGATTTGTAAGAGGCGCCCAGGTGGACTTTTTTCAGTTGCAGAAACGCCAGTTGCGAGGTCGACATAATCCCCCTTTACGGCTTTAGGGAGAGAGAGACACACACACACACACGTGACACACGGGCAGCACTTGGTCCAAACTGCACGCAGCGATCCTTCTACGTCATACTTCGAGGCGGAGCTAGCTGCAGACAGGCAGCCTAAGTTTGGGGTGCACTTGGTCATTTCCATTTCGAGAGTAACATATACTATTCAAAAAAAGTAGGGGATATTTGATTTTTAAGTGTTATTAAAGTCACCTAATGAAACTGACGAAGAAACAAATGACAAAATGAAATGAAGTTCACATTCATCGATTTATTCCAAATGATCGTTAGACCAAGTAAGGCACAGACTGACCATTATAAGGGTAAAATGATACCCGGGGTCAAACAGCAAAGTTACCACAGCATCACAACCAAGTCAGTAACGGGTAAATCCTCCTCTGTTTGCCAAACAAGCATTGATCCGACGTGGCATACTCCTAATGAGACGTCTAAGGTCATTTTGGTCCAGATTGTACCATTCCTGTTGCAACGCAGCAGCAAGTTCTTGGACATTGGCAGGACGTTGTTGACGTTGACGTAACCTCTGTCCAAGCATGTCCTAGACATGCTCGATGGGGGAGAGGTCGGGACTCAGTGCTGGCCAAGGTAATGTGGTGATGTTCTGTTGTTGGAGGTAACCTGTAACGATCCTGGCCCTGTGACATCTTGCGTTGTCTTCCTGGAAGATGAAACGGCGGCCATGACGTCGTGCGAACGGCACAACATGGACTGCCAAGATGTTGTCCCGGTAGTACTGGCCTGTAACACACCCTGCAACAACATGTAAAGCCGTTCTTCCAGCAACAGTGATGCCTCCCCACACCATAACAGAACCACCCCCAAATCGATCATGTCTGATGACGTTAACGTCTTGGAAGCGCTCGTTTCGACGACGCCACACCCTCCTACGTCTGTCCAAAAAATCAACAGTGAACCTTGACTCATCTGAAAACATCACATTGCTCCAGCGTCGATTATCCCAGTGTTGACGATCCCTACACCAACGACGTCTTGCCTGAATGTGATGATCTCTCAAACAAGGGATCACGCGAGGACGTCGGGCGCGAAGGTGACCCCTATGCAGTCGATTCCGAATCGTCTGGCCACTCACTCTCACACCAGTGTCTGTTTGAAGACGAGCGCTGATCTGATTTGCTGTGATGACACGATTTCTCAAGGCCAAGGTACGGATAAATCGATCCTGGGCTTGAGTTGTCGCCCTTGGCCGACCTGAGCGTGGTCTGTCCTGTACAGATTGTGTATCACGGTATCTGGACCATAGCCTGCTTATGACAGACTGAGAAACATTCATCGTCCGCGCCACAACCGCCTGTGTTGTGCCGATCTGTAGCATGCCAAGGGCACGTAACCTTTCATTTTGGGTAAGCCGACGCATATCAAATTTGTTTTCTGGTCACTAAAACAATTAAACTGATGTTTCCACCCTGGAATTCAATGCCACAATGACTGTAACATTCAAAGTCAGAGTCGTGCAAATCTTGGGTTGGACCCCCATGATGATCCCAAGCATTCCATGCGGTAGCTATTGGTGCGTTTGGGCGTCACATGTAACTGGAAATGTTTCTTCTGTTAGGTTCTATAGTGACTTTTTTCGTAGTCATTTGCATATTTTAGTATTATGCCCCCAAAATCAAATATCCCCTACTTTTTTGAATAGTATATATACGGTTCAATTTATATATTAATAATTCGCTTGCATATTACAAGGGTCTTTAACATTGGGAGGACATGCGGTCCTAACCGTTGTCACCTAGAAGCCAAGCGGGAAATCGAAACCAGACCACTTGACTTAATTAATGAAAGGTGTTATGATCTATTTAAGAATTTTAAGCACACGTCAATCCAATCGACCCCCCCCCCCCCCCCAACCCAACCATAAATAGAAAACTGTTAAGACTAGAATAGGTTCATTTTGTTGAAAAAGTTTAATTTCAAATATAATTGAATGATACATATGAAATAATCAAATGACAGCAAATTTACAATAACAATTACAGTTAATAATAGGTTGTGATGTCTTTAAATTAATATTTGCAGTAAGATTTATACTTAATGATCTCAGAAAACGATGGCATTATGTTCTAAATATATGCTGCTAGAGATGGAGAGTTAAACATGCATATGTAAGAGCTAAATATGCCTATTGCAGGTCTTTCTTTAGACCTGAAATGTTATCTAAATTATTATTTAGACATTATTAACCTATCCAGACCGTAATCAACTCTCAATGTCATCGCTAGCCTGCAATGTTTATTGGATTAGGTTCCGATTTCCTGTTCGACTTCCATTCATAATTTAATCATAAAATGGATAATCGAGACTATGTTTTTTATCCGTCCAACTTTAGTAATGATCGAGGCTAGGCCGAAAATGCAATAGCTAAAATCTCGGTTCAGAGTGGATCAATTTGACAATAACTTTCAGCAAATTCTCTTTACATTATCTAGTTTTTAACTATAATAGTGAACACTGCCAGCTCTTTATCTAATCTCCCATAAGTATCTATAAGACCAATATATACAAATGCAAAAATTGTATAGAGAGAGAGACAATACATTAAAAGTTCCCTCTCCAATATATTTTAGTGAATAAAACTTGATAATTCTTCTGGCCCTGTGCAAATATCTGAAGCTCAATGATACTTATTTTACAAGAAATACAATCTCTCCCGATTCCATATAGGATTGGTCACTAGTACACAAGTGTTTGGCTAATCACTGAAGTGATTAAATTATTCAAAGAGAGAGGAAGAGTTTGATGTCCACCGAACACATACTAGTACTACATGGTCCAATGTCATTACAATAAACTGCTTTCATTGAGAGTCCTTAGCACTTAGACGTACCCAAAGAAAACCCACATGGTTGGACAGGCGACCCTAATCCTTATTACCTACAAGCAGAGAAGTGGCACAATGCAACAAGACTCAATGACAGACCTTATGATTTAAAATTTGTCCACCCATCCCCCCCCCCCTCCCACACACTTTTGAATCTTTAGAAAAGGCAAACCGACCATTTCTTCCCATACGTAAGGGTCCTTAGCACTTGGAGGAACCTGGAGAAAACCAACATGGTTGGACAGGCGACCACTCCTCATTACCTACAATCTGATTAAAATACAGGTCTATATTTCGTTTCCTTTTTTTATACTTTCGATGGCCTACACTACATGAAGTAGTAAAGACAAGTAAAACGAAATTTTGAACTATAAAAACGAAACGAAATAGGATCTGTGTTTTAAATAGATTGCATTACCTACAAGCAGAGAATCGACACCATGCAACAAGACTCAATGACAGACCTCATGATCTAAAATTCAGCCACCTATATCCCCTATTTGAAACTTTAAAAAAGGCAAACATACCATTTCTTCCCATACTTATACCCACTTTTATTAAGGGTGTCCCGTGTTATTAAAAAAAATATTTCAACAAATCAGTTCAGGTCATTCACACAACTTTTCTTTTCAAGTAACCCTACTTTCTTTCAAACTGTTAAGCACTTGATACAATGCTGTGAAAAAATTCTTAACAGTTATGTAAAAAAGCAGGAAACGTTAACCAGATTTTATTTATTTCATTAACACCAATTAAAAACATTTGGGGAGTGTTAATAAAATCAAGAGTATTCTGTGTTTATTTTATGACAAATTTCCGATTGTGAAATTACCAGATGCCTGATGACCTAAAATAAAAAAATTAAGGCTATACAAAATAAATATTCTGGGTCTCAGATACTTCTGTGTCACTTAACAAGAGCATCGCTAACACAGCAATATGCGTTCCCATTTCTGCTTTGATTGATATGGTATTTTTTAAAATGAAGAGAATGAAATATGAAATGGCTGCAATAACTGTAATATGATGTAGATCGGATGAAAACTTTTGTCGTTCACAGGGATCAACAAAGTCAACCAAGGGAAATAACTCTAGAATATTTAACGAAAATTACTAAAATTCAATAGGCTTCTTTTCACTAATTTAAATAATGTACATAAATTTCATACAGATCGGATGATAACTTGAGTGTTCACAGGGTTCGACAAAGTGAAACAAGGGCTATAACTCTAGAGTCTAGATGTAATTAACAGAAATTGCTGAGATTCAATAGGCTTCTTCGTTTCACTGACTTAAATAATGCAATTAAATTTCATACAGATCGAATGATAACTTTTGTCGTTAGAGTGTTCACAAGGTGCAATAAAGTGAAACAAGGGCCATAACGGAAATTATTGAAATTAAATAGGCTTCTTCATCTCACTAATGTCGACAACTTATATCAATTTCAAAACAATCAGATGATAGTCTGTAGAGTGTTCACAAGAAATTCTGGACGACAGATGAGGGCGACGGCAATATACGACCACATTTCCATGTGGACATATTAAAAGGAATATAAGAAATACATAATATGCCAAGTTCCAAGCTAATCCATTCAGAATTGCGGCCTGTACACGATAACACAAAAATGAGGCGTGGATCTGCGCCTGGGGGTCAGGACATGCACCAAAATCAATAGTTGCCGACTGCCGTCCTTAGGCTATAAGGAATACATATGCCAAGTTCCAAAACGATCCATTAAGAATTGTGTCCTGTAGGCAACACACAGACACACTAAGAAAAAATGTGCGTGGCTCTGCTCCAGGGGGGATCGGGCATTCACCAAAAAACAATCGGGAGCATCCTTAGGTTATAAGGAATAGGTATGCAAAGTTTTATGCAAAAAATTAAAACAATCTCATTACCTCATAAATATTTTCCCTCGGTTACAGGATGCAAAAATTTGAAGTATAAATGTTACTGACAATCATGAATGACATTAGATGATCATACATTCCTATGAACAACATGAGATGAATGTAGTGTCTTGAAATGTGATGTGAGAATTCATTTAGCCCTTTGACATAATAGAAACACAAAAAAAAACCTCCCTCTCACATCAGATTTTTCTGAAGGATTGTCTGAGAACCAGAATATTATTTTTGTATGGCCTAATACGGTAAGTCAGTGTTTTAAATGTGACTTACAGATTAATTTCCCTACATATATGGAGGCCATATATGTATGGAAATTAATCTGTATTTTCTATTACATACGAATTTGAATATTTTGTTGACACATGATTTTTATGTGTGGTCTAAAACTGCCTGCTTAAATAACGATAAAGAGTTATGTCCCTTTATTTTCAGTAAAAATGTCCGACAAAAAAAAATATTGAAATCCCATCAGTGAGAAAGAAGTTTTAATGTAAACGCACCACAGATCAAATTTTTTGAAACAAACAAAATTGAATTGAACACGATATATCGTTGAATCAATGCAAAGCGATTCACCTTCTCACGATTCATGAATTGAATCGTGAGATGCTGAATCAATGTATCGCGATTCTTTTTTATGTGTTTTTGTGACCTCAGTAAGTAACCTGTCACTCTTAATTATTCACATCACATGCTATCCATAGGTAGACAAACACTCCTAAATTGTTTTGGTCCTTGTTGTGATCCAGATCAATATTGTGATATAAAACAATTTTATTTCTTCGTCATCCACAGGACTAAAAATATCAATTATTCATTTATCCAGTTTTCTTGGTAAATAATGACCTGGTTATAAATCGTGATACGAATTGTATCGTAGCACCTGAATCACGATATGTATCATATTGTGACTGCAGTGGCAATATCCAGCACTAACAGAAGTGGGGCTACACTATGTCTCACTAAGACTTCTAGTCAAATCTGTGTTGTGTTTTTCATTGTGTCTCAGTATAAAAGTAAATAACCTAAAGGCACAACAGTCTTTCTGTAAATCAGACTATTGTGAAACAAGATATTTATAATAACAACATTGATTAATTAAATTTCCTTGATATAACAATGATGTAATATAGTTGTCCACTTTTTTGTATTGCGAAAAAAGCCATTTTGAATCTTAGTGCCTATATCACTCGTTATTCTGATGTTTGCATTAATTTTTCAAAACACATTTAAATCAAACTCCCTTCAGGTGGCATTAATTTTATGACATATTAATTTCTTATCCTAGAGTAATCTTTTAGACCAATGATTCTCAACCAGTGTGCCATGAAATTTTGAAAGGCACACTAAGAAAATTATTCACTAAAGAAGCCAGCTATTTGACTGATGAAATTCGAAACACTGCAATAAAAAAGTTCATAGCTGTGCTTTTCTTTATTTACGTTTAGTCATTCTACGTGTCTATGACTAGTCTGTGTGTACTATTGTATGCCGTCTATGACTTGCCATGTTTTTATTTTGCAAAATTCAAATATTTTTTCACAGTGCCGCTATATTTTTTCATGTGTTCCAAGGCGTGCCGTTGGCAAAAAAAGGTTGAGAACCACTGTTTTAGACAGATAAATAGACACAATGTTTGACAAGGTAATCAGGTTTAAATGTTTGTAGTCATGATTTTAAAAACTGTTACCCTCTAACATTTGTGTAATAATGGACTAATGGTGTATATAAATCAATAATGTACAATGTATAATTCTAACTTGGAGGAGGAGGGGGTGGGGGTGGAACCATTTGTTGTTGAGTAGGGTGGCTACCACCACTGTTGCTTGTAGGTGGAGGAACAGGGGGTGGGGGAGGTGCACCCATTGGAGGGCCTGGAGGACGCATCCCTCCATGTGGCATTTGTCCAGGATGCATTGATCCTGGAGGAGGCATGGGAGGGGGGTTCATACCCATAGGAGGTCGATGGCCCATATTGAAATGACCAGGGGGTGGCGGTCTTTGGGGCATACCATGGGGAGGACCATGTGGAGGGCCCATGTGTCGATGTGGTCCTCCATGATTCATTGGAGGAGGGGGTAATCTTGGAGGCATTGGATGTCTGGGTGGAGGGGGTCCACTTCCAGGAGGTCCCTGGAACATTCCCTTAGCATCTAACTTGAAAGCAAATTGAAGGAAAAACTGAAATAAAAAAATATATATACATATGAAAACCAGAAATAATAAGACAAAGGTGAGGCTAATGTCTCCTGCATAAATCCCCCAAAATAAACAGATGACACTTCGATTTTGTAAAATAGTCAACAATCAAATTGCTCAACTCTACTTAGTTTAAGCAGAAAACGTTCAACAATGAAGTTAATCAATACCAGTTTCACCAAGTTATTAGTGACCAAAAGTCTTAACCAATCAGTTGCTGATCTCTGCTTAACCATAGCAGAAAATGCTCATCATCAAACTTAGTCAAGATATTCACAAAATGGACACCTACACCAAGTTAAAAGTAACAATGCATCATTTGTATTTTTTGATAGTATTAAAAGGCAATTGTATTTCAATCTGCTCAAAATCACAACCATCCACTGGTCTATAGACGAAGACTTCGATTTAAATCACCAGCAAAATCCATGCTTTAATAATGAGTAAGGTATCGAAACCACATACATGTTGATCTACTAATAGTCGCCAAAATAAAAAACGGCGGATTAATCTAGATAAATGAAGTCATAGAATTATTTTGGAGTTATTTCAAATTATTACTTATTTTGGTGGTTTTTTTCTTTTATTCTGAGTTCAATAAATATTAAATTTATAATAATTTTATGTGTTTCTAAAAAATGAAAAACAAGCTAGATTTTGTCAAAATAGAAACAAGAAAAGAAAAACAAAACCCACCCTCCTACATTAATGTTTTTAAAAGGATTGTCTGAGAACCAGAATAATTTGTTTTTTGTGGCCTATAATGTAAAATATTGTATTGATGGTTTTCTTCTATTTTTGCATTATACCCCAAATCTGACGATCAGTATGGTGACTTATCATACATGTTTTATCAAGATAAAGATGGTTCACCAATAACATACATGTATGCATGCCAACCATCCATTTTAGTTCGAAAAAGTATCACAGATATAATGGGGCTGAGATAAGGATTTCTGAAGCCCTTCCATACTGATTAAGGCAGTTTTTAAATCTATGTTTCCAGTGAGCAATTCTGTTATATAGCAAATAATTACGCTTACATATATGATAAATTAAATTGCTGTACCTGTTTTGTATCTCTATTCCAATGAGTCCACAATTTCTTTGGATCTTTATCTACTTCACGACTAGGTACCTGTAAAATACAATATAAGGTTAAACAAATAATGACTGGTGCCTGTAATTACATCATTAATATCTCCACTACATCCACATTCCAGAAGCCTGCATAATCCATGCAGAAAAAGCTTATTAACGAATTTCATCAAGTATACTCAATTAGAATCAATAGTATTGTGTTCCAAAGAATCGACATATTAACTTGCTTACCTCTGCTTAAGCTAAGCAGAAAATACTCATTCTCTAACTAGGTTAAGACATTCACATAATGAACATCTACATGTACAGCAACTTTCTACCTCAGATAAAAGGAAAGTTATTGTGTTCCAAAAAATGTGACAGAACAACAAATTCACAAATCTATTTCAATAGTACTTTTTAAAGTAGCTTGCTTTCTCATGCAACAATTCTTATGTAACAGTTTGTTTGTACCCACTACCTGCTATACTTAAAACAGAAGTCACAATTACTGTACCTTAAATGCAATTGTTTCATATGGTTCTGCAGCAAACAAGAGATACTGCCATTTCCTGTCTGGTGGCTCCACTTTTTGTTCATAAGCTGCCATAAATCTATAGCGAGGATGAATGACTTCAACTATTTCAGGATAATCAATCTGTAAAATACACACAATGAATGATGTTCAAGAGAGAGTGAGAGAAATGGGGTTTAACAACCACTCGACATAAACTATGTCTATTCGAGACAATAATTTTCCTGACCGGGTCTTTTAGCTAGCTGTGGGAGAACTGAGTCAAATACCTACTTTGCTAACTTTGTATTAATGAACATCAGTTCATCCTTTCTATATAAAACTACTTATGCACGGAATAAGAAAAAATTTGTTAGAAGCGAATTTTTATTGCCTGGAAATAATGATGAATTTAAAATTTGATATCATTCTCTTTTTTACCCAGCATCAAAATATACATGCATAAAATCATTAAAGTGCTTTGATTTTATTGATGAGTACACAGAAATGATAGAATTATAACATACTTGAAATAAAAGACTTTGCTGTCCAGTCTCTTGGTCTCTTTGTTTTGTTACTGGAAAAAGAAACACTTCAGATGAATGTAAACATTTCGTTTGTATATAATTATAAATCTAGTTCAGTTAGGGTACTTAAGATTATTGGAGAGAGAGGTTCTATCTAGTTTTTACCTAGAGATGGTTGAAAACCCTATCAAAGTTTTATCTTATCAACATTACAAATCATACATTTATCTGATTATGTTATTTATATTAATGTATGATTATCCAATATTATTTATGATTGTCAATAACATAACCGAGTCCATCATGGTACATGGTTTCATTTAAATTTTGAATAGTACAGGTTCCTGTAACAAGGGACCAGCGGCTGCCAGGCAGGATACGCCCACATTTTCGAGAGATGGATAGAGAACAAACTAAAAAGAAAGCGATTTTTCGTACAATCAGGGGCCATAATTCAGGAAGTTACGGTCCGATATGCACGAATTATGACCTCTATAGGGTCCACAAGCTAAAAACGCGATTTTTCGTACAATCAGGGACCATAATTCCAGAAGTTACGGTCCGATATGCGCGAATATCGAAAGGAACCGAGATCTTTGGGTTATAAACTTACATTTCAAGTCTCAACAAAATCGGATAAAAATTGTGACCTCTATAGGGTCCACAACCTTGATATACCATATTTTTACGCTATTTGAGAACGAACGGTGGCCATTTTGTCTATCAATTTTGGGCCGTTTTTCATGAAATTCGAACTCATTCATCCTTAGGGTGTAACGGTGATATAATAATACGTTTTTTTTAAATCGGATAAAAATTATGACCTCTATAGGGTCCACAAGCTAAAAATGCGATTTTTTCGTACAATCAGGGGCCATAATTCCGGAAGTTACGGTCCGATATGCGCGAATATTGAAAGGAACCGAGATCTTTGGGTTATAAACTTACATTTCAAGTTTCAACAAAATCGGATAAAAATTGTGACCTCTATAGGGTCCACAACCTTGATATACCATATTTTTACGCTATTTGAGAACGAACGGCGGCCATATTATCTGTCAATTTTGGGCCGATTTTCATGAAATTCAAACTCATTCATCCTTAGGGTGTAACGGTGATATAATAATACGGTTTTTTAAATCGGATAAAAATTATTACCTCTATAGGGTCCACAAGCTAAAAACATGATTTTTCGTACAATCAGGGGCCATAATTCAGGAAGTTACAGTCCAATATGCGCGAAAATCGGATAAAAATTTTGACCTCTATAGTGTCCACAAGCTAAAAACGTGATTTTTCGTACAAACAGGGGCCATAATCCATGAAGTTTCGATCCGATACATGCCAATATCGAAAGCAGCCGAGATATTTTGGAGATAAACCTATATTTCAAGTTTCGTCAAAATCGGATAAGAATTGTGACCTGTAGAGTGTCCACAAACAATTGTGGACGGACAGGGGCGACGGCATAATACGTCCACATGAAAATGTGGGCGTATAAAAATGTGAAGGTGCAACAATTAATGAAACTGTTTTTTATTTTCTTTAAAAGTTCTAAGTTCTCCAGTAACAAAAAATACACAATAAAATAGAAATCAAGAACAATTGATCCAAGGGCCACACCAATTTAAAATTCTGTTCTTTGGGAACACCTATGCGACATTCTGACTCCAGTTTCTTCAAGGAAAAACAGATAATTAAAAACAAAAGAGTACTTAGGCCTAGTTGCTCTTCTCGAAAGATTTTAGTTCCAAATATCTAAGTTTTGAAATTTGAACAGAACATTGCACACAAGAATTGAGTGGGTTACTTATTGATCAAGAGTATGGAGAACTAAACATAAAATTGTTTTAGTCTAAAAATCAAATACAAAGCCCAATGGAGTATTTTATTTTTATACCCCATATAATATTTAGAATGCCTGGTTTTGGAAGGATTGCCTGGGAACCAGAATATGTTTTGAATGGACCAAATGATCAATATAATTTTTTTATGTCAGACTCAACCTTTCTATTAACTTTAATGTTAATGCTTGTCTCTGAATTCTTTCCCAAATTGGAGTAGAAAGCTTTCTATTATAGATAGAAATGAAATGAAATGGGGTTTAACATCTTACCATTCTGCTCTGACTTGGCTAATAAAGACGAATTATAAACAGAGTAACTTATGACAATGTCTTGGTCCATGAGATTGACCATAGAAATTTTGAGACACATAAGGAGATACTTATCAAACCCTCAACTCCATATAAAATTCAAAGATAGGTTGCCAGGCAACGAAACATACGCCCACAGCAGCTAAATCGTCCGGGCAGTCAACAAGAGTTGTCGCATATTTTTACTTTTTTCGGTAATGAAACATTTATAGTACACTAAAGTCTGATTAAGAGCAACAACTCAGAAAACCATTAGAATTTGTTTGGTTTTTATAAAGTTCTGCCCCATGCTAACGTTTTGTATACAAAACTTTTAATACTGTATCATGGATTTAGCTGTTCCAAATCATAAAAATTCACTGAAAATCAATATACTTGTTCGTCTCAAGATCTTAAACTCTGTGTATCAATCTGAAGTCAATCAGATATTAACTTGGACCTCTAGAGCGTCCACAAGATTTTTCAAAGTGATCAAGGGCCATAACTTTGGCAGTAATTATCAGAAATCTTTGAAAATCAATAGGATTCTTCGCCTCGTGACCTCAAACACTGTGTATAAATTTAAAGTCAATCAAATATTAACTTTAGCCTTTAGAGCATCCACAAGCTTTTTTGAAGTGATCAAGGGCCATAACTCTGGCAGTAATTATCGAAAATCACTGAAAATGAATAGACTTCTTTGTGTCATGACCTTAAACACTGTGTATAAATTTAAAGTCAATCGGATATTAACTTTAGACTCTAGAGCGTCCACAAGATTTTTCAAAGTGATCAAGGGCCATAACTTGGGCAGTAATTATCGTAAATTGCTGAAAATCAATAGGATTCTTCGTCTCATGACCTTAAGCACTGTGTATAAATTTAAAGTCAATCGGATATTAACTTTGGCCTCTAGAGAGTCAACAAGATTTTTTGAAGTGATCAAGGGGCATAACTCTGGCAGTAATTATCGGAAATCGCTGAAAATCAATAGGCTTCTTTGTCTCATGACCTTAAACACTGTGTATAAATCGGATATTAACTTTGGCCTCTAGAGCGTCCAAAAGATTTTTGAAGTGATCAAGGGCCATAACTCTGGCAGTAATTATCGGAAATCGCTGAAAATCAATAGGCTTCTTCGTCTCATGACCTTAAACACTGTGTATAAATTTAAAGTCAATCGGATATTAACTTTGGCCTCTAGAGCGTCCACAAGATTTTTTGAAGTGATCAAGGGCCATAACTCTGGCAGTAATTATCGGAAATCGCTGAAAATCAATAGGCTTCTTCGTCTCATGGCCTTAAACACTGTATATAAATTTAAAGTCAATCGGATATTAACTTTGGCCTCTAGAGAGCCAACAAGATTTTTTGAAGTGATCAAGGGCCATAACTCTGGTAGTAATTATTGGAAATCGCTGAAAATCAATAGGCTTCTTCGTCTCATGGCCTTAAACACTGTATATAAATTTAAAGTCAATCGGATATTAACTTTAGCCGTATAAAAACAAATTCAAGCCCTATTCTCTGATACTAGACCAAAAGTTGCAAAAAAAAAATCATCATACAAAGGCAGAGAGCTATAAAACACATGGGAATTGCATTCCTGGGTTCAAGGGATTTGTTATTGTGGTTGTTCTATTTTCTGACCATTTATTATTCAACAGAATCATATCAATGTGACAAGAGTAATTTCAGGGCTCTTCTTCTGGATTTAGTTTCTCTTCTTACAGATTTATCAAAGGAAAACATTATCACATACCTTTATAACCAGGGCGTCCAATTTTAACAAATTTTTTAATGTCAACTTTGGCTTTCTCTGGTGCTGGTTGTGCTGGCGCTTCTTTTGCTTCCTTAGCTGCTCGTCTTGCTCTAAAATATTCATATTAAAAATGATCATTAGTAACAAATAAGTTAAACATCTGGGCTGTTTGATATATGGTTTAAAAATACTTCCCCACAAAAGTATTTATCGGGGGTTACCAATAAAAGTATGGTAATTTTGGTATTATGGAAAGTAGAAACATCTGAAAAACACCTATGGACCGCATACAGGACAAAAATGTAAGGGTTTCCCTAACTGGCAACTCGACGATTAGGGATGTCTGCTCGAGTGACGTCAAAGGTTGTACGCGAAGATTGTCTGATCTCCCAGCGGTAGCGAACACTTGATGTGCATGCTGATAAACTTGATGGTGAGCTGAAACGTACAACAGTTTCTGAGATAAAAAACATGGAAAAAGACAAGGGCAGTGGACAATCCGAGAATTTAATTAGGCTTTGATATTTATGATAAAATGAACAGCGATTAATTGTAAATATAATGCACTCATTGATAGCAGTTAGATCTTTAATTTGATAAGGCCAACTTCAATTTTGGTCAAAGGTAACGAGATGTAAACAGGGCTAGCAATAATCCCGACCCTAACCCCCGAAACCCTAACAATTGCATGCCCTAACTTTATGTACATCTCAACGACCTTGACGAACATTGAGCTGACCTTAAAGAAATTTAGCCGTTGCTAAGGTAGCATGTCAGCCAAGTCACGTGACACAAACATGACCTCTTTTTAATATAATACAATGTTTGGAGAAGGGTTTGAATCAAAATTTTTAAAGATTAATTTGTTTGAATATGCTTTAGTCCAAACATATCATCAAATTGTTGGTATACTGATATTTCACATGTTCAGGGGACTTTAGCAGCGAGCTGAAAACCCTACTTTTTTTCAGGTACAAGCCGTGGTGCGAAAGCACAACACTTGCCTTAAAGACAGACCTAATGATCTAAGGCATATAAAACCTCTCGGTTAGTAAATCCCACTCTACAGTAGTCTACGAAAGCAAACCAGACTACTTTTCTTGTTACTTTTTTAATTCTCCTGTTAAGTTAAGCAAATATTTTTGGGGCTAAATTCAAAGTGATTAACCTGTTATTTTAACAATAGATTGACCTCAACATTGAAAGGGAATGTACCTGGGCCAGGTTTGTCAGATTTGAATTTATTTCGGCTAAAGGAATAGCAACCTGAAAGTACATAAATTTGGATAAAAAAAAATAATTCAAAGTCTACTTACAAATTAGCTTGATGTTTTTTACCCTGTGTATGAGCCAAATAGCTTCCCTATAAAATAAAAATTACAACAGATTATAAACTATTAATTTCATACATTATCACTGTTTAATGTTATATTTATAAGCAATTCTACAAGATCTCTCTTTATCGCCCAATTAGTGCGTTATATCACCTGATTGATATTTAACAACATCTACTATCTGCAACAGGGGATATTGCTTCAACTTAAATGTACTTTTCAAAAGTCCCTCTATTGTAATTACCTTTACATATAGGCAACATTAAATTCAGTATTAAAAAAGACAAAACTTAATAAGCATACCAAAGATAAATCTATTTAAAGAGTACATACTATGGTCGTATCAAAATTGCATGTACTTGAAGCCAGTATTTATTATAAAAACTTTAGCCAATTGCACACCAATCTAATTAAAATTATTCAATATGACTTTTTATGACTCAGACTTTGGTTGCAGCAATAACTAGCGGATGCTGCATAATCGTGATTATTCTTTTAATTATGATATCGTATTGGCCCAAAATCAGTATATCGGGAAATTTTTTCAGTTATCGCGATAAATCAAGTAATCACCAGAAAAATGATTATAGTCAGAATCAGTGATGGGATTTTGCCCGTATATTCCGGACTTGTCGAATCTTTTTTCCAAACGCCCAAAATTGTCCGACCGGGAATATGCCCAATCGGACATCAAGACATTGTGAATAATATTCAAAATTCCGAAAATAATATAGTTTACTGAGTGTATAACTACCACTCAACCAGACTATCGTTGATAATACGCTGGATTGATTAGGTAATTAAGTGATCAACGTATTTATCGTGTTATACACGGTCTATAAACCTACCATGATTAACTACTTAATCTGCCTTGATTGACTGACTTAATCCTTTGTCGGACAATTCATCAATCTAATCTTAAACAGAAGCCATCGTTTCCCCTTTGTCGGACTATTCATCAATCCATTATAATTTTAATCTTCGTGTTAACCTCATGGTTTCTGCATTGTCGGACATTTTAATCGCATTGATGTGAGCCGACAATATGTATAAACTATTCATAGAAGTAACATATTGTAAGAGTATATAACGCCCAGATCAATAGACAGTCATTATAATTCGTCTGCGATATCACTTCGGTGGAAGCGAGTGTTAAATAATACTATTTCACACACAAATATATCCGAAAAATATTAGACATTTCTAGCACGCGGTTACAGCACTCGGGGAAACCTCTGCAGATTCCGTAACTCTACATCTAGCTTCGGCTGCATGATGGTATTATACCGGTATTAGAAATCTTGCGAGACGCGTGAAATTATGAAATGAATACGTGACTTAATTCACGCTTCTAATGTTGAAGAAAAGATTCTATTTTGATGGCATATTCTCGGATTTACGATCTTATTTTGAATGGGGTTTATGTTTTTAAATAAAGAAATAAGTAATCTAGGCAATGTTGACAAATATGTCGATTGAAATAGTGTAAGTACTTAATTGTTTTAGACGATAGCGCGTGCTAGAGTAGAATGCGATTATTTAGCGGATGGTGTCATTCCTCGGGATATCATATTCTTACCCTCTGTACATAAGTCGTAACGGAGTATAAGACGAATGCCGGCCTTCTAATGAAAAATGTATCGACTTATGACCCGAAAATACGGTAATTTTGGAGGAATATGAAACAGTACAGATCGGCAGCAGTCGGCACGCTTTCATTCTATTGTATTACGAATTTTGTAGGAATATTACTGACATAAATTTGAATACCGTACGGGAATTAAATATGAAAAATAACGAGGTGCACCTATTTTTATATTACGGACGAATTTGAATATTTTGCTTACACATGATTTTTGTGTGTGGTCTAAAAACTGCCATCTTAAATAACGAGTTATGTCCCTTTATTTTTGGTAAAAATGTCTGCCAAGAAAAATTTTGAAATTCCATCACTGGTCAGAATGGAAGTTATTTTAAATACATGTATAAACAGCAGTTCAATTCCGGTGTGGCTGGATATAGAATTATCCCGAGACTGGCGATTAGTCCTGTGCAGAATTTCATCTAGATGATGTATGTATTTTTAATGTTTAAATATTATTATTTGGACAGAAATAAAAATTATTTCAACGATTTTACTCACACCTTCATAAGAGGTAATCATATTCACTGTTATTTATAACCCGCTGAACCGATGTCGGTCGTGTAGACCAGGGATTCCACTTCAAAATTTTCACTGCCATTCATTTTTGATAACGCACGTAACCTTTGCAAAGTAATTTCATGTTTTTTATTCATGGTAGGGTATGGTGAATTCACGTGTCTATACCACTTTGTCAGCGTGGGGTACACAAAATATTATATATTGGACTTAAAAATGAAATATTAGTAAGGCTTATGATAATTATTTATTGATTAAATATTCCCTTTTGGCTACTTAAATAATCGAAATAGCTAAATTGCCCGTAGAAAAACCATTCCAGTAGCTGACACGTAATTACCACATGATCTATAGAAAACACACTGACCTGGATAATTTTGAGTTGTAATACAATAACTTCGAAATGAAGATAAATATATAATTATCGATGGCATATATCTCACATTTATTGGTTTTAGACCATCTCTTACGGCATAATGGAAATTTAAAGTCAAACATATAATAACTTTAGCCTCTAGAGCATACACAAGATTTTCAAAGTGATCAAGGGCCATTACTCTGGCACTTTATACAGAAGCTGATGTGTTACTATTTTTGTCAATCGGGGATATGCGGAAATTAACGAATAACCTTGATTAAATAGACACACGCGATAAAAACAATAATATTTACCAGAATTCTTACTTTGCTTTCTCATTTTACAAAATGAAATGAAATGGGGTTTAAGATTCTACGGTTCTGCTCTGACTGAGTTAATAAAGTGGGGGCATATGTCATACAGTGTGCTACGAGAGAAATATCACCCGGGCAACAGCGCTATGGCCTACTCTTATATCAAATTCCTACTGCCAAGGGATCTTTTACATGCACGCCAATGTGTACACAGGACCTTGGTTTTTCGTACCATACAAATGGCTAGACAGCTGTCCTTGTCCGATTCTCCATCCTGTGCCACTAGCACTATATTTTATTTACACTGACTTATTTTCAAATTGAATACTGTTATAAATACTTGAAATTGACATGAGTGGTACTTGGCTACTTGATTCTCTATGTCAGGTTTAAAAGTCCCTATTCATAGAGTTACTTCCCTGTGTAATGAATTGTGTCTGGTAGTTTGAGAAGAAAATGAAGAGTTCAGTTTTGTTTAATGATTCGCAGTTACTGCAAATCAAAAACATCAGATTTTGGATTAGCAATGGCCAAAATATGTATTGCAAATTACGCTGCGATACTGGAGTATGTGACTTTCTTGTTGTCTACTCACATCGGAGGTGAAATTTAGACGAATGTATGACAACTCATCCCAAGATGACTCTGCTGAATAGAAGACCACTTATCCCAAGAAAGAAGACGACTCATCCCAAGTTTTTCACTTGTCCACAAGCTAAATATGTGGTTTTTCGTAAAATCAGGGGCAATAATCCATGAAGTTATGGTCCGATACATGCCAATGTCGAAAGGAACCAAGATCTTTGGAAAATAGACCTCTATTGCAAGTTCCGTCGAAATCAGAAAAAAATTGTAACCTGTAGAGTGTCCACAAGCAAATTGTGGACTGACGGCATAATACGTCCACATGAAAATGTGGCATATAAAAATCATTCTGTAGTTAATTGTTTCATTTTATTAGAGGATTATGGAATCAGTCAGGCGTTAATGAGTACAAATACCGGCTGTGTGTTAATCAAGGAATTAATATTTTTAATACGCATTCGGTCACTGTGACGTCACTAGCGTGTTTTCAATAATTGGCAGAGTCGTTTTTACAGGAGGTCTATATTAGCGCGTTTTAGTGAAGATGGCTCAATTAATTTTAATTAGATTGGTGTTAACTACCTGTAGAGTGAATAGTAACTACTGGCTATACATTTAAGTACATAAAATTTTATTTGGTCATTTTATGTGCTCTATAAATAATATTAATCCTACTCACCTCATTGTTGTGAAGTGTCAAACACAGTTTACATTCATAAGAACCCAAATGATTTTTCATAAAATAGGGATCTTTATTCAAATCTATGGTCTCTAAGGCCAACTGTCGCAGTCTCTCTCTCCTATCCCTGTTGGTCTCAGAGGCGGAGGCCACACCCCCTGACCCAGTCTTGCCTCCAGCCCGGTGCTGGAAATCCATGTTAAGTCTTTACTTCTGTAAGCTTATCCTTTAAAAATAAATAAGAATTTAATTACCCATATGCAATTGATTTTGTGCAATATTCCTGTGATTGTAAAAAGAGTAAAAAATATTTCAAATTCTTAATAGTGCAAACTGCAAACATGTGCTAAAAACAATGGTGCATGTGTATATACATGTACATGTAAAAAGTCAGTTAACTGGTCCACAAGCAATGTACTGTATCATGCCACAGTTTAGCCGAAAACCGTTTAACGGTAAATTCTATAATCCCATAAATATGCAACCTGATTAGGCTATTCATAGGGAGTAGGTCCAGCAAGTTGACTTTGTGAAAATAGACCATGTGGCAAATGAAGACAATCCACGCAATTAATCTATCCCATAAACTTGCTGGTTTTTCATAACATGGCCAAGACATAACCGACTGATATCCCAAACTATTCTTTTTAAGCACAAAAATATGAATGGTGCCATTCACTTGTCAATATTCTGGTAATCATTATTAGTGCACGTTAATAATAATCAACTTTTGTTGCGACTCCATTTGAAATTCACAGCGAATATAGAATTTTCCCATGACTATGCATAGCAATAGATCACTATTATTATTTCTCAGCAAATCAGCGCTTGTGAAATTAATTACCATGTATGGTTCAATGTCATATAAGGCACTGCATACTACAGACGCAGAAACTAAGGTTAGATTTGTTACAAAATTACAAGGGCTTCATGGATATGGATAACATGATGCCTTTTGGTGAGTGATTAAGCTGTCAATGTAATTGTAAAATACCTTTTCATAAAGAAGATAAACGATGTTAGTCATCATAAACTAATCTTATCACGAACATTTATCCATCGAATAATATATATTCAGATTTCATATCAAGTCAATTAAATGGTGTGTAAACATCTTCGATTTGTATTCATTATGTCTGAAATCATAACGCCAATCAACAAACAATACGGGGCCACTTTATTACAAAATCATCGGTGAACTAAACTCGGCCGTCATCAGTCAATCATGCTCATTGATTTTTGGGTAAATAAAACAATATAAACACAACCGATGGGTAAAACTTACTTATTCGAGACAATTAACGTGTGAACAAAATGAAATGGGGTTTAACGTCCTACTGTTCTACTTCGAACTGTTGGGCTAATGAAGACAGACATACGCCATACAGTGGGCTTTAAGGGAAATTTTGCCCAGACAGCGGCACTTACGCCATACAGTGGGCTTTAAGGGAAATTTTGCCCAGACAGCGGCACTACGGATCTTTTACGTTCACAGGACCTCGTTTTTTTGTCCCATCCAAACGACTAGACAGCTGTCCTTGTCAGGTCCTCCTTCCTGCATAACTCGTATCATATTAAGACAATCTGATTAAAATACAGATCTATATTTTGTTTCATTTTTATATACTTTCCATGGCCTACACTACTTGAAGATCTGACAAGTTGTAGCAATAGGTCGCGTCAGAGGTCATACGAACGGCTTTTGACCTTTGACGTCAGACATTTGATTAACCAATCAGCATAGATGTTAAGGTGGATTACCCACAGTTCCGTGCAAAACATGCCTAAAGCTCGCCGTGACAAACTGTTTCATTGGCTAATCACTCACATCATTCAGAACACTCCTATGATAACAACTCTTCTAGTGTAGTAAAGACAAGTAAAACGAAATTTTGAACTATAAAAATGAAACGAAATAGGATCAGACCGATATTAAGATTATATTGTATACATGTAAAGTATTAATTTAAATGCATAGAACCAATTTGAACCCCACGTATGAACTCATTAAACCCCTATGTTATTGACCTACAATACAAGACATACTGTCCACTACATATTTACACATATTTACGGACGTAATAATTTCAAAATCAGAGAGGCACTTTAATCAAATTATTCTAGAAAATGACTTACTAAATGGATCAAAGGAATTTTTTGTGAACAGTATGTTGACGCATTAGTGATTAATTCATCACAATTTCAAGACATTACGATAAGGTTTAGAGTCTGTACACAGTCTATACCAGTGATGGGATTTTGCCCGTATATTCCGGACTTGTCCGAATCTTTTTTCCAAACGCCCAAAATTGTCCGACCGGAAATATGCCCAATCGGACATCAAGACATGGTGAATAATATTCAAAATTCCGAAATTAATATAGTTTACTGAGTGTATACATGTAACTACCACTCAACCCGATTATCGTCGATAATACGCTGGGTTTATTAGGTAATTAAGTGATCAACGTATTTATCGTGTTATACCGTCTATAGTATAAACCTACCTTGATTTAACTACTTAATCTGCCTTGATTGACTGACTTAATCCTTTGTCGGACAATTCATCAATCTAATCTTAAACAGAAGTCATTGCTTTCCTTTTGTCGGACTATTCATCAATTCAATAAGAATGATTATAATTTTAATCCACACTGTATCGGTACTGTTGGGTCTTCTGTGTGTTCCCACTGTCTGACATGCTGCCTCAGATGCCTGTGTGAAGGGATTCTGCATGTGCTGTTGCACAACATGGCGGTCTTGTCAGAGGCGGATCAAGGCTCTGATTGGCCCTAAGCAGCTCGACCCTTTGCGGAACTGGTTTGCCGTAGTAAAACTAAGACCGCTTAGTTTGTCGCTTTTTTCAGCATTTCAGCATCATGTTTTTTCTGTTCTCTCTTCTCTCATCCACACCTTTGCCTTTGGCCCATATCAACGGCAAACCAGCCTACGTCGAAATGACACGGCGACCTTCGCGTAATGAAAGAAAGACAAATTTCAAGAGAAAATAGCAAAAACTTTTTAAAAATGAAAGCGAAACCGGATGCCAGGCTAAAGCATGGCAAGCGAGTGACCAGTCTCCAGGTTGGAGTGATTGATTACACTAAAGCTCATCTCAAGCGTTATGGTGTCAGTGACCGCGTCGAGCTTCTTTCCTCATAGTGAACGGCCGACACAACCGAGTGAGGTTCATCAAATTTAAAAAGGTCATCAAAAATTTTATGGGCCCTCTTTTTTCTTGGGCCCTAGGCAGCTGTCTACACTGCCTATGGGGTAATCCGCCTTTGGGTCTTGTCACCTTGTGGTAACCTTGTCTACCAGTTCGGAAGCCATCATCCGTGGTGTTGGTGGCCCGAAGGCCGAAAGCAATGCTGAAGCTTGTAGATTGGCAACGGCTTGGTGAACTGTCCTGATTCGTGGCATGCTTCTGACGTTGTAGTGTGAATGATTCAACCAGGTATATGGGTGCATTTTATAGGGCTGGTCCCGGTGAACAGCACGTATAGTATAAGTTACATGAAAATCATGGAGAACACATTACCATCTCAGAAGACAGGTTGCGTTTCCTGGGTTCAATTCTGTGTTTGGGAAGGAGCCTTATTGCTCAGGTAAAATTGGAGATGTGGTCACAAATATACAATAAAAACATTTGGCAAGTTTTATGCAATTCGTCTATTCCTTTATAAGATCCACCTTCATTTATTTCCATAAGTGGACGTAAAAGTCGTAAAAATTCAATTCTTCTGAGGTGACCTAAATTTCATCGGCCATACTGTAATGACGGAAGGTGTGTCAAATGTACATGTACATTATCATTCAGACGAATATTCCCTGTATGCTTTGCACTAGGAGGTACTGGTGATGTCCGGGACTATATCAAATTACAGTTAGACGACCGTTAGACATGTGCAAATGCGAGAAAATAATTGAAATATTAACAATTTTAATTCTTTGAGACTGAATTTGTTATTTTCTGAAAAAAACTAAAATTAGTTTGAATCGTCTGCTTTATCAATTCCTTGTTAAATAAAAAATATTTTTCATAGCACATATCACGGTGTACGGCCAGTCTTCATTTCCATCCATATTTCCACGTATTCATGGTGTCAAAATTAAACACCAGTGGCCATTTCATTGGATTATTGTTTACCAATATTGTTTAATCATATTTACTATAATTTTTCAGGTTCCTAGAGCTTGGTAAAAGATTTGATTGAAATTTTAGCTGTTTTTATTGTTATTGATATAGTCAGGCTACAGGTTTTGTTTGTATGGCATAATGATGATTCATTTGTCATGTTTTATTTTTTGATATTTTAAAATTATTTAGAGAAAACTTAAAATCATTGTAAAGGATATAAAAAGAAATGTTATTTTATAATTATTCAGAGAAAACTTAATTTTATCACAATTAAAAATTAAACATACATTATGCAAGAGCTAAATCTGATTATTGCAAGCCTTTATTTAGGCTTCAGATGTCATAGAAATTATAAATTAGATCTTTATTTACACAACAAGCACAAAATCAACTCTGTAGACCCACGGATGGCTTGGATTCGGCTTGGATTTAAACAGGATTTCATTGAATGATTAAATTTTTAAATGGCGTCGTAAGCGGAGATTAACCGTTACGTTGACGTCATACCCCCAGAAATTTTAGATCGAGGCTAATTGATAGAGTGTACGAAGAGAGGCCGCTGTTAAGCGAGGCCGCATGTAGGTCAATTTGAATGAAAGTTCATTATATACGGCCTTGACATTATGTTTAGTTGTGGTTAAAATGAGAGTTTGGATGTCGGTATTATACGCTCTTTTGTCACTTGCGTTTACAGAAAAATTATGGAAATTGATAAACATCGCAGCTAACATCACCCCAGTTGAATTGCAGCCCCATTGGGTCACTTTCCTATAGTATTTAGTATTTGTCTGCTTCGGGAGTTACGTAGGCTTACCAGTTACAGTACAAGAGTACACGCAGGCTAACAAGAAGTCGGCTATAATTATGCCTCATTGATTTGGTCCATTCCTTTCAAACTTTCGCTTCTTATCTATATATTAAAATCTTATTTTCAATTTGTAGTAAAAATAAATGTGATCCGAATTGAATTGCAACCCCGTCTCAAACCTAAAAAGGCTAACAGTACCACAACCATTGAAAACATTACTTGATAGTCGAGATTATGTAGGTGGAGTTAACACCTGTCAATCAAACGGTCAGCCATTCTCGGAGACGGTGAAGAGAGAGTTGACTCCTATTTCTAGTCAAAAATTACAATGGTGATAACTTTGTTCAGAATAAAGTAATTTGACTGAAGTTTTCAATATATTCTTCTTTCATCATCCATTTTTGAACTGTTATAGCAAGAATGGCCAACTCTATATTAAAATCTCCCATAATGTATCTTTAATAAAATAGTTTTATTGTTGATTTTAACTTAGTAAATATGATGTAGACATATGATATATGTAGTGCAACAGGTTTTTGTTTCTTACGATTAATTTCCTTTTATTAAGTTTCATATTATATTTAATATTTCATAACTGGTCAAAAGAAAACATACTTCCCAGTTTGATTTTATTATTCTATCAGAAAACCAATTTTCAAAATCTTATGATTTTAAGATTTTGTTTAATATTGTTATTTTAATTACTTTTCTGTACGAAATATGGTTGATTTCCTATAAATTGATTTGTAGTAAATCTGTATATCTAGCACGTGTGTAAAAGTTGAGCCTGCTCCAAAGTCATTCAGTCAGTCAAAATATTATTTCATCATTTTTGCCCGTTTTCGCCAGAATTTTGGAAAACCCTGCTTACCTATGAGTACCGGTATAAAACCTGCTACAAAAAAAAAAGTTCTGAACCGATTTTAAAAATTTAGACAGATTAATGATTCTCAGGATTTTTTCTAACTGTGTGGTGTGCAAAATTTAAGGTCTGTAGCTCAAAAATTGAATTTTGGATGGCAGAATTTTATATGGCCGAATTACGTAAAGTTGTGCGTGACCCTGTATGTAGATATCAATGGCGTCCTCAAAGCCTGTTTGGCAGAAGGGAACATATTTTTAACAGCATGTTGTGTTGCACATACTGACACTAGCGAGGTAAGCAAGAAGGTATTGTTATTGTAGGGTTTCAGGTCAAAGTTTCAAATGACAGAAAAAAATTTTTTAAAAATATTTTGTGAAAATATACATAAAATGCTACCCAAATTTTTTTTTTCATCAAAATATTCTAATTAGATCCAAAGTTATGGAATTTTAAAATCTGAGATCGACGTCAATAATGTAATCAAAATGCTCTATACCAGTCAATGCGTGGCATGGCACCATAATAAGTGCTTTTCAGTCATATTTGAGTGACGTCATAAGCGGTATTTTCCCTTCAGAATCGCTTGTACCAATTTTAAAACTGAAATCTGCACGTTATTGTCAGCTAAAATTTATTAAAATCGTAATAATTTGAATGATAATATGTCAAATATTTATAATCTGGATGATACCCCAAGAAAGTTTTTTTTGCTTTAGTCGAAATTTAGCAATTTTCAGTCATCAAAACAGTTAAATCCCATTTTCTCCGGGTCTAATTGTCCGATCACGTGGTATCAACAAGCATAATAACCACAAAAGTGTTAGCTATCATTTGATTGGTTCTATATCAAAATCCCCCAGGAACTAAGCTGCGGATTCACCAATGAAGTGAGTCGTAGAATGGAAAATCTCAGGCCGTGTGACGTCAGAGCGGTATTTTCCCGCGAGCGTCTCATGTAAACAAACGGTAATTTCGCTTCCATTTCCGATAATTTTTTAGCCTGAATCTTTGCAGATATTGAGATTGATATTAAACTATTGTAATACAATCATTAGTAATGCATTTACATGTTTACATGAAATAGTAATTCAGAATCGTAGATCGAAGTGGGCTATATTTCAGCCGCTGGCTGTTCGATTTCACGCTAAAGTCACGTGACCTGAAACCCCTAGTTATTGTATTATTTTCTCACTAAAATGTTCCTTTACTTACATTGTTCAGGCGTTCACAGAGACTGACACACGACCGTTTAGCAGTAAAAAGTTGCCCAGTAAAATTGACTGGGATTGATTTTAGTTTCGACACGGATTCAATAGCACGGTTCCTAAACGTAATGAGACCTACGTTTAGGTACGCCGGTGAAGCGGTGAACCGCTGACGTAATTTCGTCGTCGCGAGTCACGCTTCAGATACGCCAGCTCGATTTGTGTATCGGCTTTTCTTCCTCGTCGTATTGTTGATTGGTACGAAACTGCGGCTTCAAATGAGGTTATTTTCGTAAATAAAAGGCTAGCTTTTCGCCTCGTTTTTGAATTTTTACTCTAGCTGCTCCGTGTGCAGAGAAATCTAAACATGAAAATGAAAGTAGAAAACAACACGATTTTTGGGATGGATACCAAAATAGCATAGGGTTATAAATATATAAATTAGAAAATACATATATTAAACTTTAATTCTGTGAGTTTTCAATGAAATCGGTAGGTGCGGAGCCAAAATATGTAGTGCGGAAAATTTTTGATCCAGTTTCGCCGTGACCGCCATGTAAGAAAGTTAGAGAAATTTTACCGCTAGCGACTGCGCGCGATGGCCTCACTTTTCCTTCTTTGTTCTTCGGACAAAAAGAGCGTTAATTAGCGACAATTAATTTGGCATAACTCCATTAATATATGGCCTTTCAAGCTCATTTTGGTGTCATTGTAAAGCTGCTGGACAGCCCTATCCAGAAATAACAGAATTAAAGCCATACGGGATTTTTGAATTTTTTGTTGTCATCCCTACTACGTTCAGTTCAGAGCTGAACTAGGTTGGCACATGGGACATGCCTTTACAGTTGATACAGACGCTAGTCTGAGACTGACTGAACTCAGGGAATCGTTCACAAAGCAAGGGTTAGGCAGCACAAAAAGTATATTAATCTCATTTGTCTTAAGCATCGAGATTCGTGTGCTACGTCTATCTCACCTGTTTTTAACTACATTTACAAAGAATAACTTAGGTTCCGCGTGTTTTTTTCTTTGGCATGAACGTCTCGAGTTATTTCCGTTTCCTGTTTTGAAGACCCACAGTGAAGAAGACGATTCGCCTATCTCGGTTGAGTTAAAGTCTATTCGCATCAGCGTTCGCCAGCTTTCAGCCTAGTGGATTCTTTTTTTATAATATTATGTTGTCATAAAGAAAAATGCAATTTAATAAATTACCAGGTACTTCCTCGACAGTAGGAGAGGTCATAAATATACACACAGATTTGAGAAAAACCGACGAGAAAAACACATGTCGTTATTAGTTCAGCTCTAGACGTAGGTCATTACTCGCCCTGTACGAAATACTTCAAACCATATTTATAATGGAGTATGGTATTATGTATATGTTCAACACAAACTCACTATTTTAGCAGACATTTTGCAAGTTATGGAGAAGACCAATGTGGTTGATTTGTATTATATCAACAATAATAACGTTAAACCATGGACCGTATATAGGGCGGCAGAGAATCGGACCAAAGGGACTTCGTTGTCTGTCCATCTATATACGGTCCATGGTCAAACAACAGCTCGGCGAAAAGTCTTTGGTACGAATTATCTAAAAATAATTTCTTTTCGGGCGATCGCTCTTCTCAATTTCTATTCCTATAGGATTTTTTATTTATCTTCCTGACCATTAGATTATTAAAAAAAATACTTATTGTAAGACTTGTGGTTGATTTAATTTATACAAAACATTTGGATTTTATTTAGAAATATTTTTCACCAGTCTGCAAGTTCCGCAGAAACAATATGGCGACGCACAGACAGTGTTTGTTTTGATTAGTAACTCAGGTAATGATAAGGACGATAGTTGTGTTCATTTAGGTAGATTTGTGAACTTTTTATTTCAGTGCTTTTCCAAAATATTCATATGATTTTTTTGGAAGCGTTACGAAACACGTCAAAAGTCAGAAACTGAGATGTTGACATGTCTCGAAACTAAGTCAGAATGACTCGGGAGTCGGAACTGAAAAACTACATTATTTGATTTATCATTGTAACAATTTAACAAAACCAAAGGAATGAATGAAATATGCTATAACGTCCTACTTTTCTTCACCAACCAGACAGACGAAAATGGCTTTATGCCATACATTGGACCGTGCGGAAAATTTTGCTCTGACAAACAGCGACAGCAAATGCATTTCAACTGTCAAGGCCAAGGGTTCTTTTTCAGGTATCACGTCATTTGGGACTCAACATAAACGACATTTGGGACTCAGTTGACGACGTTTGGGACTTGATTGGCGTCAATTGGGACTCAACACAAACGACATTTGGGACTCAATATAAACGACAGTTGGGACTATTTATTTATGAGATATACATGTATAGTAACAGCTGTCTTAGTTGTCTTTCGTTTTATTTAGTTGATCGGCGATTGTTGAGACCGCGATTAACACTGCTAGTTCTCCTTTGTTTTGTTTTATCTGCGAGTATAAAACTTCTCCTTTGTTTTGTTTTATCTGCGAGTATAAGACTTGACAATAATATATTGTTGAAAATTTGTGTATATTTAGTAATACTTCGTTGTTTTTCTTTTATCAAATAGTAAACGAGCTTGATTGACCGACTACTGCTCATGTTTTTTCGTGAAACGGTATAACTGCAATCAACACACGGACGCCATTCTCGATGATTGACAACTCACGTTTTTCCTCATCCACCAAAGAACCGTTAGGTTTCTTTGAACATACTGCAATAACATCGGGATTATCAGTTAATCAGGTTTAATTATCCTGCTTTGATTGTTGCCATTTCTTATATTTTCCACAAAAAAACTTTGCCTTGTACGCACTAATTTATCGATTGGTATTGCCATCTACGACAAGCATGTCAACGTGCAGCTCACGGATTATCGTTAACAATTTCTAGGGGCTTGTAAAAAAGATTGCATGTCGTGTCAATATTTATTTTGTTTTTTGTGTAGATCATTTTCAAATAAATTCATCAGCATATTATTAGTTTTAAATAAATATATAACTTTTATGAGAATCGATGATTATCAAAGAACCGTAAGTGCAACTAATGTTTTATCGTTTGGTTGAGCCTTTTACTAACCACGTTTCATGTTAATAAATATTTTCTTTCGTGTCTTGAATTGGCCTATTTCTAATAAATTATCACGATACGAGTTCCTAACGTCGTATACCCGAGTCCCAAACGACGTATATCAAAGTCCCAAACGTCGTATACCAGAGTCCCAAATGTCGTGGTCATATTTTTTTGAGTCCCAAATCCTTTTTCACACATATTGTAGTGTACACGGGACCTCATTGTTATTTTGGTCCCATCTGAATGAGTAGATACTGTTCCTTGTCAGGCCCTCCATTCTGCACGCTTGACAATGTAAAACTATGGGATCAAACCCCAGACTTCCTGAGCTAGTGTCTTACTCACCGAGTCACTATGGGTCCTGAAGGACTAAACCAGATGAATTTAGCTCACATCCTGTTACTCTCAAATTTTATTCCCAAATCTTCATATTAGATCTTGTACTAGTCACAGTCCTTGTTGATGGATGAATTTTTGTGAAAAATTCACCAGTAGAACCATGCCGCATTGATATTCAAATTCACTTCCAAAACAGGTCTGTGAGGTGTGCGGAATACCACATGGTGTTTCAGGTTCTAAATTTTTTGTCATGATCAAATGCAAAAATTACATGCATTAAAGCAAAATCATTTTAGCAATGAAAAATTGATTCTCCCTTGCAATGTGTCTATGTTAATCTTTCTGACCAGACTACTGGAATTTTGCAAAAAGTTGTATGAGTAAGCTTACTCCAGTAAAATGCACAATGTTTTGATAATACCAACATGTACCATGATCAAAAATCAAACCAAATTCTCCATATTCAGCATGAAAATGTCATAATTTTCAATGGAGATCACAGTGCAAAATACATGTATTTTTACTATCAGTACTATATTAGATGGCTTATATTTATAAATTGATCAATGTTAAGGTCGTACAGAGAAAAATATTATTAAAAATATTAATTTTGTGTTTTTCAGGCTGATGTTTGTTGTTGAAAAGATAGTAAAGAAGTTACAGAATGGCAGAACATGACAAGAAAACACAACAAGGAGCAACAAATTCTGAAAATGATGCACAGGCAGTGAACCCAGAGGAATTGAGAGAAAGACGATTAGCATATTTTCAGTCAAAATCTGCATCAAAGCAACTTGTTAAAGATGGCTATTCTCGTGATGATGCTGTTTCGAAACCTTTAAGGCAAGACAAAATAAGAGAGGATGATACTAAGCCTAAAGCACCAGATAAATTTGGGAATCCCCAGTCTTCTATTACTGACATTGTTGCAGGCATTGGTCTAGAAGAGGAATTTTCCCGTCAAGACTACAGAGTAAATTCCCCACTTAAAGAAGTAAAACTTAAACCAACTAGATGCACCTTAAAAACTGAAATTACCAGACCACCTGAATGTTCTGAAAATCCCAGTCATCAGAGAGATTTCAAGGTACCAGAATTAATACAAGATCAAGAATTTGATGAGAAAATTAAACTACACCCTGCTGCCAGAATAAATCCTGATAATTTACCACTCACTTCTCTCCAAGAATCCCAGAATTTGGATTCAGTATCAGTATTTCAGAGTGAAGCTGATTTGGAGAGTTTAGGACTTTCCACTCATCGCCCTGCTTCTCCCCCATCGACAGTTTCTGTTCTAGACAAAAGATTAAATGGAGATAACCCCATACTAGATGCTTCTGAAATTAAAAGTCTGTTAGGAGATGAAAAGTATGAAGAGTTTCTCCAGAAATCTGTAAAAGACATTAATGCTCTTTATAAGCATAAAACCACAGAAACATCACCACGTCTGCTTGACCAGACAGCATCAGTTTTAGCTGAACAGACAGCACCAAATACTACAGAATACAATGTCATCAATTCAGATAAAAATACAATTAACTTTGTTCACAACAATATAAACAAAAATTCTGGCACACCGACAAGACAGCAGGTGTCTTTACAACCAGAACAAAGTTATAAAAACATTCACAACCTTGAACAAGAAATTGATAGAGGTCAAGAATCACGAAATTATGATCAGGTGTTGGTTTCTAGAAATGTTACTTTCTCAGCTGATGAAATCTATCGACAAGCTTATGGACCAATTCCAATAGACCCAAGAAATGCTCATCAACAAATGGCATCTTCTCCACCTTATAATGTGATGATTAGTCCAAGACAACAGAATTATCCTATGGCGATGAATGTACAAAATTATCAACAAGTACCAACTGGAATGTGTATGTATAATGGACAAGGGGATTACTTCATGTCACCAAATTCTCCAGTATCACCCCAAGCATCTTTTTTCCAACCCTATTTTCCTCGCAACTGTTCACCTTCACCACCACAAAGACAGTTTGTGTACCCTGGTGTGATGGGTTCAAGCCCACCTGGTCCTACCCATGGGTACCATAAATATCAACAACAACATGCTTACAACACAAACAACTCTAATCAGTACCAAGTATACCTTCCTCATCCTCCTCATCCACCTCCTCAATATCATACTCAACACCAACATACTACTCAACATCAGCACCACCAGCATACCATTCAGTATCAACACTCTAACCATCAAGCCTATGGTGGTTCATCTGGTTGGACAGGAGCTCAGAATAGAAATCAGTACAACAGCTACTCGGGCAATACTAATTTCAAGCATACCAAAGATACCAACATTCAAAAAGAAGCTATGATAAAACACAAGGAGACAAAAGTGGAATCAGCATCCCCTTCCCATAAACAATTAGCAAAAATGCCAAGTGAAAGTGATAGAACAAAGAATCATATAAAGGAAGACACATCACTTAGACACAAAGAAGCTGTTAGGCAATACCATGAACAAAGGTAAGAACATATTTAAATGTTGTGACCTATTCAAAATTTTGAAAAATTTTCTGAAAAGTGTTCTTTCTGAAGACATAGTAATTTAAAATTACTTTATAAAAAAAACTAATATTTTCACATATGAATAGACACATAAATGCTATATTTGACTTAATGAAGAAACGGTTTGATTAAAAAGATTATGATAGCTCAAAGTTTAATATGCGAGCATATACATGTACCATCTCAAAATTTTGTCTTTTCAGAAGAACTCTTCAGGAAGATCAAGTTGACCAAAAATCACCAGTAAAAATCAAACCAAATTCTTATGCTGCCAGCTCTTTAAATCGATACTTCTCTTCTTTAGAAAATTTAAATGCCAAAACTGAAAATGACAATGATGACAATTTGACTATTGTAACAGAAACGTCTGGTGTTACAGCTACTAGTGTGAACGCTGGGGGTATTACAGATAGAATAGAAAAGTTAGGGATTACAATTCCTAACCTTAAACCTAAAGATGCTTTAGCTGATGAGTCATCTGCTAAATTAGAAAAGAAATATAAGATATGTCCAGAATGTTCCACAACAAACAAAGATTACATGACATGGTGCTCTGAATGTGGGGAAGTCCTCATAGGTGTCAGAACAATCACTTCCAAAAAGAAGCAATCGAAAGGGACAGAAAGAACTCAAAGGTTACCAAAGAAGGAGAAGAAATCTGTAAAAGATGCTACCAGTACCCTTCATGCAGAATTAGATAAAATAGACAAGAAGGAAAACAGTCATTTTCAGATTAATGATAAGTCTAACATAAAATCAATCATTGATTCTCCATTGAAACCACAACCAACCTTTGAACAAGTCAAAGAAGCTGAGAAGATCATTGAAAGAAATTCTCCAAGAACTGATGATAAACCCAAATTTGATCCTAAATTTTACAGAACGGATAAAGACATCAATGATATTTGTGAAGTGATTACAGATCCAGTTATTCGAGGTTATATCCGTTCTTACTTCAAGAAGAAAACAGGATCAGCATTGGCAGAAGAAAAGAGCTGTGCTAGTAGTGTTCAAGATCACCCAGATAAGTTGGAAGAGTCTACAAAACTGTTGGTAGTGTCTCCGGAACATCTGGAAGAGTCTCCGGAACATCTGGAAGAGTCTCCTGATACAATAGAAGTAGAAGAGGAACCACAACAAAGAACTCAGCCAGATGTTGACCTAGATTTGAACTGGTCCAATAACACTAGAGCTTTTAAGTCTGCTGCCATTAGTACCCAGGCCAAAAGTCAACATTTTAGGAAGAAGAAAGAAAATGTTGATAGAGAAACAAAACTTCAAGCAAAGGAAGCAGAACAAGGAACACAACCAGAAGTATCTCTTGATCTAAACATGTCTAATAGCACTGCTGCTCTAAATGATGCTTCCACTAGTGCCAAGGTAAAGGGTACAAAATTTGGAAAGAAGAAGGACAATGTTGAAATAGATATAGAAGTATTTGGAATGGAAGAAAGTAGAGAATCGAAGAGTTCCATAATTCCTGTTGTTCCATCTTTAAATCTTGCCTCCAGTAGTGATGAAGATGAACCTCATAATAGAGATGTGATGGTTGATTCATCTGTTGACACTGATGTATTTCAGGCAGTTATGGATTCCAAGACTATATCGAATGGTATTGTAAAAGATAAAGTTCCTGAAAAAAGCAATTTTCTTGCCCAGATTTTAGGACCAAAAGGATCAACTCCTAAGAAGGTAGGGACAAGTAAAGATGTTTCCACAAGACCAAAGAAAAAAGTGGTGCCTAGCAAAGTTTCAGAGTCTGTGAACAGTTTGCCTCATCAACGTCGTTGGGAAAAATCGAATTTAGCATGGTCAGCAATTCATCCAAAAGAGATAAATCTGAAATCGAGTGTCAGTATGCCTAAAGCCAGGATAGGATTTGCTAGTAAAGGTAGAGCAGTGTACAGTTTGGATAATTTTGGTTCTTTTGATATGAACAGCGTTAATCAATGCACTCAATCCACAACAGATGGTCATCAGAAGAAACAAAGACCAGCCAGTGCTGATCTTTATAAAAGGTATGATTGATTGTACTTATTTAAAGCCTTGATCAATCACAAGTTTAGTAACCTTCAATTTCCTTATTTTGATTTAACAAAGAGACCATTTAATTGAAAAACTAAAGTTTTAGTCATCAGAAGAAACAAAGACCAGCCAATGCTGATCTTTATAAAAGGTATGATTGATTGTACTTATTTAAAGCCTTGAGCAATCACAAGTTTAATTACCTTCAATTTCCTTAACAAAGAGACCATTTAATTGAAAAACTAAAGTTAGATCATAAATGCCATCTTGATTTCAATGATCATGGATAGAAATGAGTTATTCTTTAGTAGTTGAATGGTGTTTTAAGACAAAAAAAACGATGACACCATGAAATCATTAGAAACTAAAAAGATTAAGAATGACACATGACACAATCCTTCAAGTAACTTGTATTCCATATTCTTGTCTCATGTGTTATTTTCATCCAGTTACTAAATGCTTCTTAAACAACAAATTAATAAGAATGAAATAAAGAAATTTCAAATATTTAGAATGGATCATGTAATAGAATATTCATTTCTTAAACAAAGTTATTCTACAAATGTAGATTCAGTTATTAGGGTTTCACACTGCGTAGCTTGTGTGAAACACTATTGTTTTTGTTAAGATTATTCTTATTATACTATTCAAAAAAAGTAGGGGATATTTGATTTTTAAGTGTTATTAAAGTCACCTAATGAAACTGACGAAGAAACAAATGACAAAATGAAATGAAGTTCACATTCATCGATTTATTCCAAATGATCGTTAGACTAAGTAAGGCACAGACTGACCATTATAAGGGTAAAATGATACCCGGGGTCAAACAGCAAAGTTACCACAGCATCACAACCAAGTCAGTAACGGGTAAATCCTCCTCTGTTTGCCAAACAAGCATTGATCCGACGTGGCATACTCCTAATGAGACGTCTAAGGTCATTTTGGTCCAGATTGTCCCATTCCTGTTGCAACGCAGCAGCAAGTTCTTGGACATTGGCAGGACGTTGTTGACGTTGACGTAACCTCTGTCCAAGCATGTCCCATACATGCTCGATGGGGGAGAGGTCGGGACTCAGTGCTGGCCAAGGTAATGTGGTGATGTTCTGTTGTTGGAGGTAACCTGTAACGATCCTGGCCCTGTGACATCTTGCGTTGTCATCCTGGAAGATGAAACGGCGGCCATGACGTCGTGCGAACGGCACAACATGGACTGCCAAGATGTTGTCCCGTTAGTACTGGCCTGTAACACGCCCTGCAACAACATGTAAAGCCGTTCTTCCAGCAACAGTGATGCCTCCCCACACCATAACAGAACCACCCCCAAATCGATCATGTCTGATGACGTTAACGTCTTGGAAGCGCTCGTTTCGACGACGCCACACCCTCCTACATCTGTCCAAAAAATCAACAGTGAACCGTGACTCATCTGAAAACATCACATTGCTCCAGCGTCGATTATCCCAGTGTTGACGATCCCTACACCAACGACGTCTTGCCTGAATGTGATGATCTCTCAAACAAGGGATCACGCGAGGACGTCGGGGGCGCGAAGGTGACCCCAATGCAGTCGATTCCGAATCGTCTGGCCACTCACTCTCACACCAGTGTCTGTTTGAAGACGAGCGCTGATCTGATTTGCTGTGATGACACGATTTCTCAAGGCCAAGGTACGGATAAATCGATCCTGGGCTTGAGTTGTCGCCCTTGGTCGACCTGAGCGTGGTCTGTCCTGTACAGATTGTGTATCACGGTATCTGGACCATAGCCTGCTTATGACAGACTGAGAAACATTCATCGTCCGCGCCACAATCGCCTGTGTTGTGCCGATCTGTAGCATGCCAAGGGCACGTAACCTTTCATTTTGGGTAAGCCGACGCATATCAAAATTTGTTTTCTGGTCACTAAAACAATTAAACTGATGTTTCCACCCTGGAATTCAATGCCACAATGACTGTAACATTCAAAGTCAGAGTCGTGCAAATCTTGGGTTGGACCCCCATGATGATCCCAAGCATCACCTGCATTCCATGCGGTAGCTATTGGTGCGTTTGGGCGTCACATGTAACTGGAAATGTTTCTTCTGTTAGGTTCTATAGTGACTTTTTTCGTAGTCATTTGCATATTTTAGTATTATGCCCCCAAAATCAAATATCCCCTACTTTTTTTGAATAGTATATTATTCTTCTTATTATTATTTTTCTTCTTCCATTTTGATTGTATCTCAGAAACTACTTGTCGGATTGATTCGATGTCTTCGGTTTTACTGGGAAAGTGGGTGTGACTTAGAGATTAAAGCTATTTCGAACGTTCTGCGACAATTTTTTGAAATATTGCCGTAATATTAACAATAATCGTTGGATTGTAACATTGGATACATTTTGACATAGCCAGAGACAAGGCACATAGCTACGGTTCTTTAGATTTTTTATTTTCGACGAATCTTCGGAGATATTAGGTGCCAAATTTTGAAAATTTAAATTTTTACGAAAAACTTTTTTATTAATGAATATTTTTATGTGATATTTTACCAAGGGTTCAAGAGTCATCTGGTTTGATCAAAAATGGCAACATTTTTTGTCACCGTATTTTTCCTTGGCCCCCATTGGCTAAATTAGTTTTTCAGTCCTGGATTAATTATTTATTGTTCGATTTGTAAAAAACAAAGTTCATATGCTCCGTGGTCCAAAATGTCATTTTTTTTGTTACCGGTACATTTTTCTTTCGGCAACGGAAGTGACGTAAATTTAGCAAAAACTACAATTTTGACAGTTCGGTACCACTTTTTGAAAGCAAATATTATTTTTTTCAAATCTGGTATGACTGAAAGGGTGTGCCCTGTAAAGGCGCAGAAAACATCGGGCTCAGTTTTTTTAATTTCAATTTTGTTTTTGGGTCATTTCGATTTAAAGGTGAAAAAAGGTGAAATAATGAGCTATTTACAACCCATTCAGGCTTTTCATGTTTTAATATATTTCTTCGCAACTTTCATGAACTTGTAGCAATAATCCATACGAAGAGAATGTATGTGAAAATTAGTTTGTAATATGAGCAGTTGCCGAGAAATGGGCAATTTTGCAAGTGTCACTTTTTACTCTAGTTTGCCTGTAAAAGAGTCAATTATTATTGGATTTTCATAAAAGTGATACCATTTGATGCGAAATGTCAATTGTGACTAGGTCAAACCAATTTAACATTTTCAATATCACCGGAAATGACGTAATTTGGGCAAAAACTATATTTATAACTTTCGAAACAAATAATTTATTCAGATGAGTCGTATTTGTTATTTGTTTAAAATTTGGATATTTCATTCCAATCAACTAATAGAATGAACCCATACGATCATATAGATATCACAAAATGGTTTCTAACTTGTTCAGTTACGGAAAATAGGCGATTTTCAACAGGCCACTTTTCAAGGTTTTTGGTACATAAAAGTGTCAATTATTATTCAATTTTCGTAAAATTTTCACTGTGTGATACGTAATGCCATTTACGATTTCATACAAGTAATTTATGATTTTCATTATCACCGGAAGTAACGTCATTTTGGCAAAAACTGTATTTTTAGCCTTCAAAACAGATATTTTATTCAAATGGGTCTTATTTGTAATGTTTTTAAAATTATGATATTTGATTCCAATCAACAAATAGATTAAACCCATACGATCATACAGATACCAGAAAATGGTTTCTAACTTGTACGGTTGCAGAGAAATAGACGATTTTCTACAAGTCACTTTTCAAGGTTTTTGGTCTATAAAAGGGCAATTATTATTTGATTTACATAAAATGTTCACCATTTGATGCCTTATGCCATTTATGATTTCATAAAACTAATTTAGAATTTCATTATCACCGGAAGTAATGTAATTTTGTCAGTATCACTTACATGCAACAAATGTATGCAATGAATTGATATTGCCGGATTTGCTTGATTCCTGCGTGCATTTTATTTGATGTGTAAAATGCTTACATGGAAGCCTGTATAAAGGTTTCATCGGTACCGGAAGTGACATATGTTCAAGGGTAACGGGGCACCGGTGAAACCCGTCATTACTGCGTCGCAGTTCTAGTTTCAATTGTGGTTATACAATATTATTGATATCAACTTCCAGAAAAGGTTTCATCGGTACCGGAAGTGACATATGTTCAAGGGTAACGGGGCACCGGTGAAACCCGTCATTACTGCGTTGCAGTTCTAGTTTCAATTGTGGTTATACAATATTATTGATATCAACTTCCAGAAAAGTACAACAGCAGAGACCAATGAGTGCCCAAGTTCGACCTATCAGTGCCCAGGTAAGACCTACTAGTGCCCAGGTAAGACCAACAACAGCTCAGATGCGACCGAATTATAGTAAACAAATTCCTGCTCATTTACAATCAGATAATGTTGATATTGATGATGACGTACTTGAGGATTTTAATGATGAATATGTGGATGTTCCTAATGTTGATGATCACAATCCTATCAACATGCCCACCATTGTTGACCACCGTCTGCCCACTCAGGTAGCCAGAGTTATCTCACAGTCAGTGAATCTAGGTAAGTATGTAGCTGGACTTTCATTTTCATCCGCCAACATTGAAATGTGGTTGTATATTGTCGTCAGGGGCCCCATCCGTCAATCCATCCATTGGTCAGTCCGGCATCCACAATTGCTTGTGGACGCTCTAGAGGCTAAGGTTAATATCCAATTGACTTTAAATTTATATAGTGTTTACAGTCATCAGACAAAGAAGCCTATTAAGTTTCAACGATTTCCAATAATTGCGGCCAGAGTTGTGGCCTTTGATCACTTCGAAAATTTATACAGTGTTTAAGGTCATGAGACGAATAAGCCTATTGATTTTCACTGAATTCTGATAATTACTGCAACTGATATGGTCTTTGATCACTTTGAAAAAAACTTGTGGAATTCAGATTCATACACAGTGTTTATGGTAATGAGACAAAGACGCATATTTACTTTCAGATAATTACTGCCAGAGTAATTATGGCCCTTGATCACTTTGAAAAATCTTGTTGATGCTCTAGAGAATAATTACTGCCAGAGTTATGGCCCTTCATCACTTTGAAAAATCTTGTGGTCACTCTACAGACTAAAGTTATACACAGTGTTTACGATCATGAGACGAAGAAACTTATTGATTTTTAACAATTTTCGATAATTACTGCCAGAGTTACAGCCCTTGATCACTTGAGAAATTTTGTGGATGATGTAGAGGCTAAAGTTAATATAAATTTATACACAGTGTTTAAGGTCATGAGACAAAATATTGTGTTGTAAATGTTTTCATTACTGACAAAAGTAAAATATGCAACAACCCTTGTTGACTTTACGGACGACTTAGCTGCTGTGGGCGTATGTTTCGTTGCCTGGCAACCTATCTTAACTTATTTATATTTTCAAGCTTAAAAATAAAAATTGAGGGGTTGCCTGTCAAATTGACAGTCTGTGGTTATTGTCCGCCTGTCAAATGACCAAGTCGGCATGCCATATTATTTACATATTAATTTAAGTATAATATAAAAATTCAATCAACAATAACAACTATTCAAACAATTCAACAATTCAGTCACTAAGATCACCTGTTTATAAAGTTCACTCTGAATTTGTTCATGTGCAATAAGTGAAAAATGTCCATGTGTACATAACCATGAAGATAAAATGAGGAGTCATGTATATTCAAAAATTAAGACATTTTATAAATATCACTGTGACTGAACGAAAGAATAAAATAATGAGTCTCTGGTTCAGCAAAGGCCAAAAGTAGGATTTGTAAACAAAGAAAGTCCAAGATTTTATAATTGTTGGAAAATCAGTGTTGTGTTCAGTCACCTGTCACAATGGTAGCCATAAGTGTCACAATGGCAGCCAGAAGTGCCCCATGGCTGGTTAAATAGCCGTGCTCTGGCTGACATTGTTTGATGCCAGGCTACTATCTTCAGACATGCATGTCTATTATATCTTAGAAAAAAAATGTATTTATAAGCTATTTTTGGAATCATTATTTTTGATCTTATAATTCTGTTTTGTTAAAACTTTTCAGTTCCAGAAACTTCAGTAACAGCCTATAATAAGTACATGGAAATGGTGAGTATTTGAAGATAAATTTGATTTATTCCAGTCTAATATAGTCCTTGTAGTGTCAGGTACATGTATGAAATATGGGGTTTTATCAAGAATATTATATTTATTTAATCTTGAATATAATAATAAACTTGAAGCTGGAAAATTCATGAATATTTCAAACAGAAAAGCGATTGAAATATCCTGAATCCAAAAAGCATAAATATTCTAAGTTTTAAAAAAAAAGGGAGTTTGAATTTATTTCTAAATACAGACTTTAAATTGTGAAATTATTTTGTAAACTCTGCAAACCAAGGTAACTTAAACTATTTTGCCACTGTTATAGACCACCATACATGTACATTGTAAATGTTTCACAATAATTTTATATTCTATTGCATAAATTGAGGGTGGCTATCAATGGGAAAAAAGTCTTTTTGTTTTGGCGAATACTGCACCCATTTAAACATTTAATTTATGAATTCATTAAAGAGAGAAAAATGGGTTTATCATCCATTTGAAATGAACTAGGTCATTTCTCTAGACTTGCATATATATTTTTTTCAATAAATTGCTGAGATCAAAAGCAAACACTTGACTCAATGATAGATCTCTTGATCTACAGCACACACATTAGACCACTCAGTCTACATTCTCCCCAAATTTCTCTCTCTTACCATTGAATGAAATGAAATGAAATGGGGTTTAAAGTCCTACTGTTCTGCTCCTATACTGGGCTAATGAAGACAGGCATACACCATACAGTGTGCTATGAGGGAAATTTTGCCCGGGCAGCGGCATTATCGCCTACTCTTATATCGAATTCCAACTGCCAAGGGATCTTTTACGTGCATTCCAATGTAAACACGGGACCTCGGTTTTTCGTCTCATCCGAAGGACTAGACAGCTGTCCTTGCCAGGCCCTCCGTTCTGCACCACTGACAAGGGGAAACCACATCAGAAAATCCTGATAAACTTTCTCGGCAAATGCAGGGATCGAACACCCGACCTCCAAGCTAGCGAGCTAGCGTTTAACCCACCTAGCCACCGTGGCTCCACCTATGAATGAATTTTATATATAAAATTTTTAGTTGATAAGATGTTTATATTTAGAAACTGTTTTTTTTACTTGTCAATTCTTTTAGACACCAAGAATACAGGAAGGAAATTTTTCACCATGGGTGTGTATGCCAGATGAAATATGGCTTCATATATTCTCTTACTTAAACCATGTAGATTTGAAGAATTGTGGCCGTGTCTGTCAGCAATTCCATCGAGTGGCTCTTGATGAAGTTTTATGTAAGTACACTGAATACCACAAATTTGCAAAATAAACTAAATAAATGTATGGTTACTATTACCGATGTCATTGAGTTAATAGAAAAGGATTTGAATTTTAGTGAATAAAAGAGACTTACTGTTTTACTGATTTGACCATGTGGAATGTCTTCATTCAGATTGGACTATCAAAAGGTTCCTACACATGGACATACATATTTGCATACTTTGTTAAAGACACTCTAAAATTTGAAAATTGAATTTTGGATTTTTCTGATATTGACCAAGAATTTGACTATATTTTAATTTGTGAAACAATTATACAGAATGCATGTATCTACAAATTTCATTGGATGTGTGATATTTTATGTAAGATTTTTTGGCCTAATTTTAGATAAAAGATACATCAACTCGATAGATTCATAATAAATATTATTTATAGGCCCAATATCCATTTGCATTGAGGATAAACTATTAAATTTTTTACATGCTAAATATGTTCTCAAATTGATTATTTAAGATTTAATTAAGAAAACAAAATGAAAATACCAACACTGGATAATCTCCTGACTTGGATTCAATCAGATCTTAACTAGGTCCATCAGGTTTCTCCACTACCAATAAAATATGGTGGAGTCCTGTTATGCTTAAGCAGCATAGATTGATGGGAGTACAATTTATCATAACTTAGTAAATATGGAACGGAACGGAACCATTTTTTGACTGATAATCCTATCAGAAATTAAACATTGTAGTTTGCAAGAGATTTCTATAGCGCTAAATAACTTATTAAGTCTTTAATATATATATTGTAGGGAAGTATATTGCTGTAAAGAAACAACATAATATATGTGATATTTGGTTACATGAGATAGGTAAACGTCATCCTATATCACTAGCTTTGATACAATGTCATGGGGATTTTATTACTATAGAAGGTCTGTGTGACATGTTTAAAGAATGTTCAGAAACTCTTCGGGTAAGTATGTCATTTACAATACATAAGTTTTTTATAGGTCTGTACCTTGTGGTACGCTATATAGTGTCCAAGTGTCGATTGCTGACATTTCATATGAAGTGTTATTTCTCAGACATTTGCAAATGGAGCTGCCTGAAACTTGATAGGGACATTCTTTGAAACATTCTCAAACCATTAACAAAGGTGACATTTTGATTTCAGCTCAGTGTCATTCAGATTTCAAGTGCTATTTATCGGCTGTTCATGGCTGCAATATTATTAAGTTTGCTAGAAACCATAAAGTCCAACTTGTTACATAAAGAATTATAAATTAAATACTTTCATTATTTAGAGACTAATATACAGTTAAGCTTTATTACACTATGATGATTATGTGTGCCACTTGATTAGAATGTCATCAATCGCAACCCTGTGGAACTGGCAAAGACAGTAGCTAGCTAGCCTAATTACAGATTGACATGTACATACTAGGCTGGTAGGATTCACTTGAACTGGGGAAAAAAATATGAAACAAATGATTCTTGCTTTGTATGAAAGGTCTATATGAGTACAACTTCAGGAAAAAAATCCACCAAATTCGCCCTTGGCATTCTGGTTTTCGTTCTGAGAATATTTTTGTGCATCACAAATGCTTTTCCGCTATTAGATCATCAACAAAATCAGTTAATTCCCATTTTGGGAAATTCTAATTGTAAACACGGCCATAAATGCCCCTGTCCCACCCCAAAAGCTAAGCTAGATCAGCGCATTTACCTACTGCACAAAATAGTCACATGCATCAAAAGTAATATTTTCAGTGATTGTCCCATCCCACCCCACTAGCTTTTTTACCAACTACACAAAACATGTTGCAAAATGTTCACCAAATTCACATGTATTAAAAAAGACAACCTCCAGATATTTTCAGTGGTGGGGTCTCCCCGCCGGGCTGGACGATTTACTCACTACTACCTGATACTAACTAAATACTACCAAATACTACCTCATTATTGTGGAAAACTAACATAATACTTCAATTATGTTTGGTAGAATTGGGTAAACTTCCCACCATCACATCCAGATGTTCCTATTTTCCCACACCAAAGGCTAAGCCAGATGAACCCATATGCTTATCGCTCGAAACCTGTTGCAAAATACTCAGCATAAGAATGGCAATTGTCAGAAATCTAATCGCTCCACCCAAAAAGCTAATGTACACTACCACATGACTAACGTATAGAATGTACCTGAAAACCATCAACATATTCCAACAAATCATAAATGGCCACTTCCAGGCATATTCAGTGATGGAGTATCCCTGCCACGCCGAACGTATAAACTGTAAATCGGACCGTTCCCAACAATAATTGTCTCACTGCGCTCACTGTAACTCTTTATCGTGACAACAAATGCATCTCTTGATGACCCTAATTATTATGATCACGAATCCTTGACAGACGAATCCAATTCTGATCTAGATTAGGATACTAGTCTTTTTATCTGGTCGCTGACTATTGAATTACCTTGTACAGTACATTTCAGATTTGTCACATGACACAATTGTATAAATCACAGGTTACTAAGTGTTGATGCAGATTCTCTCATCGCTATTTCGGTATGAAAAACAGTTCAAATTATCTGAGGTTCAGGGTCACCAGCTCGTGTCCACATTACTCCTGATACATATAACATTCTTCGCTACAGATTGAAGCCAATGCCATCCTTATGAAATGCAACCATACGAATAATATCAACCAATTAAAACTCAACCCAAGCACATGTGACAACTCAACAACCACACTTAAAGAGAACACAAAGCCCTCAAAGAACTTAAGAAAGACAGGGCCATCACCACAGTGCCTGCGGACAAATAGACGATAGCTGTAAATGTAATAATGGATACACATGACTAAATCAGCATTGTCACCACTCTTCAAGACCTATCAAACTACATACGGATAACAAAAGACCCCATTTCTGCTCATCAAACCAAAAACCCGAAACCTGTCTTCACCATCAAGATCCACCCAAAGTCAGGTTACATGCATGCTCCTGAGACTATGTCTACTACAAAACAGCCCAATATCTTTTGAAAAAAATTTTTTCGCTTGGCCAAATAACAGCAACGTAAGTTTGTCTCCTATGATGTTGCTGACTTGGTCACGCCCCCCCCCCACTCCTTACTAGACCGCCTCAACACACAGCATAATGAAATTAAGTTCACCGTGAGCACAGGATGAGACAGTTTTCCCTTTCTAGGTGTCATTATCACAAACAAACAAAAAAAATCGCTTCAAACTTCAGTTTATAGGAAACCAGCCTACAACAAGCAGAATCTCCATTACAAATCAATTAACCTGTATCAGAACAAGAAAGCCACCATCACGACACTCGCCAACCATCCCTCAATATTTGTTACCATCATCTTCATAATGCAATCTCAAGCAATTTTTTGGGGACATTTAACCAAAAACCTGCTACTCAACACCACAAAGTCAGTAACAACTGAGCCATTACCCATCTGCGTCAGCATACAATTCCATCGCAGCTTGCCAAGTCGTCCATAAAAAAAATTGCCCAAGGTAGATTGCAGTGAATTTTTTTCTTGGGGTATTATGTAGATATATATATACCGCCTTACAAAAAAGAGAAAAACAATTGTTTCAGATTTTTTCCCCCAGGTTGAAGTGTTTCCTACCAGCCTATTCATAACAACAGAACCACTGGTTATTGGAATTCAAAAAGGAGGAACATATCTCTACCTTAGCAAAATTCCACCTACCACTTGTTGCACACAATACATGTAACCATAAAATTGAAAGTGACCATTGGTCTCGATATTACAGAAGAATTGTGGTTTGACAAAATGTTAAACCCCATTCCATTTCATTTAAAGGCCATTTTGCCTGTGTTTTATATAATATTCTAATTTTTGTCTTTGAAAGTATGTCTACAATCGTTTTCAGTCCTACATATATCAGTAACTTCCATTGATTTTTGTCCCCCACGTTTTAAAGAAAGCAGGGGACTGTTAAAATGGGTTCGTCTGTCTGTACGTCACACATTTTGGGACACAATAACTCTTCATCTAATTGAGCTAGAATGTTCAAACTTGGTGTAGGTGTTTATTAGGTTGATGCCTTGAATGGAGTTCGAAGATGAGCATTTTCTGCTTAGGGTATTTTCTGCTTGATTGGTTGATGCTGTGGGACACGATAATTTTAGTTCTAATTAAGTGAGAATGATGAAACTTGGTGTAAAGTTTCATCACATCAATACCTTGACTAAGTTCGAAAATGAACATTTTCTGCTGAGGGTAGGCAGAGCAATTAGGAATTTGATTGGTCGAGACTTTGAAACACAATAACTCTCCTATTCAATGTATAATGTTCAAACTTGGTGTAGGCGTTCATTAGGTGAATGCCTTGATGGAGTTCGAGGATGAACATTGTCTCTTATTATAACTAATAGTAAGCAGAAATAAGCAATTTGATTGGTTGGTGCTTTTGGGCACGATAACTTTTGTTATAATTAAGTGAGAGCTATGAAACTCCGAGTATAGATTCATTATATCATTACCTTGACTAAGTTATGAGAATTTTCTGCTTAGGCTAAGGAGCGATAAACAATTTGATTGGTCAAGACTTTGGAACATAACAACTCTGCTTTTAATTGAGGTAGAATGTTTAAACTTGATGTAGATGTTCATTAGGTGAATGTCTTGACTGAGTGTAGTGTAGCCTGAATAGGGTTTTCATAATCGTAAGTTTCCGTTATTTTCTGGACCTATGGATCCCCTTTATCTTTATTTTTTTGTTATTTGATTCATAATATTTATGTAATGTAGATTTCTTTATCTAGTTTGTCAATATTTGTTTTATGTGTTTGGTGTGCCATCTATGGTGGCTGATTGGTATCATGTCGTAATGTCGTGATGTCGCCTTTCATAACGCGACAACCCGACATCACGACATTTCTACCCGACAACCCGACACCACGACATTTTTACCCGACATCACGACAAAGTGATTTGTTTTCGTAGTAATAGAGCTTGTATTTTAAAGATGACTTTTACCAGTTTTTATGCTGCAACTGACATAATTTACTACCCACTCCAAATTACTAGAAAGTATTCGAAATGCCTGGAAATCGCGTCTACGGCCGTCTGGTTTTCAAAATTTTATGGGGGAGGCCCCCCAGACCCCCCGTCGGAAATATATTTGTCGGGAAAATATGCTGGCCCCCCAAACAAGTTCGGCCACGTACGCCTATGACACTCACAGTGCAGTTTGAGTTGCATTCGTATCCATTTGTATACGTCCACATTCATAATGTGAACCGTCTTCATTAGCTCAGTCGGAGCAGAACAGTAGGACGTTAAACCCCATTTCATTTCATAATGTGAACATATTATGAAGCCCCCCTTGTCTGTGTGTCTGTCATTGAGTCAAGTGGTGTGGTTTCCAGTCCAAGCTTGTACATGACAAAGAGTAGGGTCGTCTGTCTAACCTCGTGGGTTTTCCCCGGGTCCCCCGGTTTCCTCCGACTGCTGAAGACCCCTACGCGCGAGCGAATTATTGAAATAAAATTGAAACATATGTTAGTCTCGAAATGACCTAGTTTGTGTCGAGTGGACGTTAAACCTCTCTCTCTCTCTCTCTCTCTCTCTCTCTTCTCATGATCAAACTCAGAATTAGCTAGAATCAAGGTTATTGTGTCCCAAAACATCGACCAATCAAATTGCTTATCTTTGCTTAGCCTTAGGAAAATCATAAATAAACAACAAGATTATGAACATGTTAACGATTGTATACAGAGTCAGTTAAAAGCCTGATTAAATAAATGTATTTTAAGTTGTTTTTTAAACGAATATAGAGATGTACAACATGGTCAAGATATAACGCGACAACATGGTCAAGATATAACGCGACATCACGACAACCCGACACCATGACATTTTTACCCGACATCACGACATTTTTACCCGACATTACGACATTTTTAGTGTCATAATGTCGGGTAAAAATGTCGTAATGTCGGGTAGAAATGTCGGGTTGTCGCATTATGAAAGGCGACATCACGACATTACGACATGATACCAATCAGCCACCATAGCCATCCCTTTAATCCTTTGTCTTTATATATTTCTGACCATTCATAGTAGTGAAAGATCGATATCGGCAGGCAATCGACGGAATATCTTTGATTTTGAATCATGTTTTGTGTTTTAGTACTGCAAATTAGTATTCTGAACGCGTGCCTATCATTATTTTTTATGTGTCTATCACTTGTCGAATTTCATTCATATTTTCGTTATTTCATTTCATATTTTCTGTAAATCTAAGGGACATAACTCTAGTTTTATTAATTGTTGCCTAAATACAGTTTTCCTTAAATATTAATTATCTCCTTTAATATGTTGGTAGATTTTTAGTGTCAAAATGTGGGAAATATGTATTAACAATTTTGTAATATTGAGACGGAGGGCTCTTTTATGATTTTAAAATGTTTTCCTAGTCTGAGCTTACCAGTCTTTAGTCGATTAAAGACAGTTGATATAATTTGCCTGCGTGTTAAGCTTGTTGATCTGTTATTGCTTGTTGATCTGTTATTGCAACAGTACAAATTAGAGATTTTAGTGGGAGTTTTAATAGATTTTTGCCTTACTGGGATTATAAAGGAGCGGTAAATTTTCTTTCATTAGTTAAGTGTTTGAATATTGTAAGCGACGCCAACAAAGCGTCCCGAGCATGTTATTCGATGTATAAATAAAGCTGTTTTGGAGATATATTAGTGTGTATGTATTTATTTGAAAGCTATTCTGTCTAGTGAGCAGGTAACATGAGTTTAAGGATTAACATTTTCCACTAAAGGTAAGCAGAACTAAGCAATTTCTTTGACTTTGATTCTATCTGATAGAGAGTGATGAAACTTAGCGTTTAGTTGTAAAAGATAAACATGCAATTAATTAATATGTGTCATCTATTTATTTCGGGATTTTGGCGGGGGACATCAGCCTCACTGTTGGCTTGTTATTTCAGGAATTGAATTTCACGCGATGTAGTCGAGGTGGTTTGACGGGAGATAATATTTTACTCAATGCAGCCATCATGTGTCATAATCTAACACATATTGATGCTAGCTGGTGTCATGTCACTGATAATGCTTTATTAGCTATAGCAGAAAGCTCAAATAGGTAGGTGAAAAATTTTGATCATACAGAATTGTTATTCACTACACATTTTGTATTCCAAATATTAAAGTTAAGTGGCAATGGGTCAACAAGAAGACACACTTTACCAACTGCTCTGCCCATGTCAGGGGGGGTTGGATGGCTGAATGGTTAGCATGTGCACGCTGTATCATAAAGTCTGTCATTGAGTCAACTGGCGTGGTTTCGAATCCCTGGTTGTACGTGACAAGGAGTAGGGTCGTCTGTCCAACCTCATGGGTTTTCTCCGGGTCCTCCGGTTTCCTCCCACTGCTATAAAAAATTAAAACCATATGTTAGTCCCGAAATGACCTAGTTTGTGTCGAGTGGACGTTAAACTCCATTTATCTCTCTCTCTCTCTACCCATGTCAGGATTTAAACCAAGACATTTTAGTTGTTAACTTAGCCAGAGAATTAAGCCCTGTGCTTTCATTCAATCTGCAATGAATTGAATTTAGTGGGAGTTTTAATAGATTTTTGCCTTACTGGGATTATAAAGGAGCGGTAAATTTTCTTTCATTAGTTAAGTGTTTGAATATTGTAAGATTAAGATGAAGACTTCACTTTTTCAGAAAAGGTATCGAGTTTATACTCCAAAAAATGAGTATGTGTTTTGCTTGACAGTTTGCCTGCATTAAATATATGATATCTGTGTTATATTATTATAGATTAGAAAGTGTATGTTTAAATGGTTGTCAAGTTATATCAGATATTGGTTTAGAAGCTTTAATAAAGAAACATGGAGGAAGGTATGGTATATATAGACACACATGCACACACAGTCAAGCTTAACAAATTAAATATATATTATGCAAGATTTAGATAATGAAATGGAGTTTAACGTCCTACTGTTCTGCTCCGACTCATGGGTTAATGAAGACGTTCATATGCCATACACGGGAGGTCGTTTTTTTCGTCCCATCCAGATGACTAGACAGCTGTCCTTGTCAGGCCCTCCATCCTGCACCACCGACAAGGGAAAACCATGGTGGAAAATCCTGATGAACTTTCTCAGCCAATGCATGGATCGAACACCCGACCTCCAGTCTAGCGAACCAGCGTATTGCCCACTTAGCCACCGTGGCTCCCAGATAAAATTGCCTACAGGCTGCAATTTTTAACTGATCGTCTGAAACTTTACATTCTTATTTGTTATACCCTAAGGATGATCCCTATTGTTTTTTGTGCATGCCCGACATCCAGGGGCAGAGCCACGCCCATTTCTTGTATATGTTTGTCGTCTACATGCCGCATTTCTTAACATATCATCTAGAAACTTTGCATACTTATTCCTTATACCCTAAGGAACATCCCTATTGTTTGTGGTGCATGCCCAACCCCCATTTTCTTTTTGTGTGTCTGCATGTCGCCAACAGACCGCAATTCTTAATCGATTATCTTGAAAAATTTTCATACTCATTTCTTTTGCCCTAGGATGATTATTTTTGGTGCATGCCCGACACCCCGAGAACTGAGTCACGTCTAGGGCTGGGTATCGATAGTGATTTTTACTATCGATAATCGGCAATGAAATGTCGGTCGATAATCGATAGTATCGAAAACAAACTTATTTTCACGGTCGTCATCAAGACTGGATAAAACCCAAAGTGCTTCCACACAGCACTTTTAGCTTTGCCGGGAAAATCAACAAGCGTTTTGTCGTCCATGTGTGCTATTTATTGTACCGGGTACTCTATTACTGAGGCACACGTACAGAAATAGTGAACTGTACAGACGAATTCTGAAGCTTGCAAAGGGAAATAACTCTAACTTTATTTACACATCCGGGTATCTCCGATTTAGCGATATTCAACAATAATTTCTTCAAAACTAAGTAATGTTTCAATGAGAGTGAATTTATGAAAACGGCTGTTCAATAAGCAGTCACAATTTTGTTATGTGTTACATTGATACTTGATAGTAATTAAAGTGAGCTGTGTATTATGATTAACTGAAAGAAAACATTGACATTTCAGACGCAAGAAAAATAGACGAAGAGCGATAATCGATAGTAACCCACCGCTATCGATAGTGCTTTTCTGGGCAATCCAATCGATACTATCGATTTATATCGATATTTTACCCAGCCCTAGTCACGTCCAATTTTTGTGTGTGTCTTCGTTTCGCCCACATGCTGCATTTCTTAACAGATCCTTTTGAAACTTGGTATACTTAAGCCTTATACCCTAAAGACAGCAACTATTGATTTTGGTGCATGATTCCCTCCCACCCCCTTGGGCGGTGCTACACCCACATTTTGTTAATATTTTGTCTGTAAATTAAAATGAATAGCAATATATTGTTTATTTCAGTTTAAGAGTGCTAGAAATGTTTGGATGTTTTAATATAAGTCAAAGAGGTCTTCGTTTCATTGCCAATAACTGCAGAAATCTATACACTTTAAATCTTGGACAGTGTTATAAGGTAAGCTGATCACATCACAGACAGAGCTTATGCTACCAAATTTGCCCAAAATATCAAGATACAAAAGTCACCAATTTCAACTAGATATAATTTTTGTTTTGATAAATTAATAATAATATTATCAAAAATTATAAATTAATAAATTCAAAAATTTATAACTTAATAGAATCAATAATTACAAATTAATAAAATCAAAAATTACAAATTCATAACATCAAAAATTATAAATGAATAAAATCAAAAATTATAATTTCATAAAATCATCATCAATTCATCAAATGAAGATTTAAGATTGAGTAAAATCAAAAAAATAAAAATTTATAAAATCAAAATAATACAAATTTATAATATCAAAAACTATCAATTAATAAAATCAAAAATTATAATTTCATAAATTCGTAAATTCATCAAATCAGAATTTAAGAAATCAAAATTTAAGAACGAATAAAATCAAAAATTAGAAATTAAAAAAACCTAAATTTAACAAGATCAAAAATTAAGAATTAATAGAATCAATAATTACAAATTAATCAAATAAAAAATTATATTTTAATGAAATCAAAAGTTAAAATTTAATGAAATCATAAATTAATAAAATCAAAAATTATAAATTAATAAAATCAAAAATTATAAATTAATAAAATCAAAATTTATGAATTAATAAAATAAGTATATAATTAGCATATTTTTTGTTTTTATTAAAACCTGAATTTATTTCTTTGTTTTAGCTGACAGATTCTTGTATGACACAGATATCAGCTAATTTAGGTCGAATAGAAAACCTAGATTTACGGGGTTGCAAACAGGTAAGAATAAAGTCAGTTCATATATTGAAAAATTTGGAAAGTTAGATAATTTAATAATACATGTATATTAGCAATTGAAGGCATTACATTTATTTGATCAGTCAATGTCTTAAATGAAGTGGAGATTTAACGTCCTACTTTTTCTTCATCCCATCAGATTAGATGGATTTTCTATCTAAGCCCTCTGTCCTGTAGCCTTGACAAGGGGAAACACGGCTAGAAAATCCTGAGGTACTTTAGTGGCCAACACCAGGATCAAAACCCTAGACCTCCTGCTCTCAGAGTCGGTGCAATGCATACTGTGCCTCGCAGTGAAAGCCCTGTATCACACATAAACTTCATTTAGCTGTAAGTCGTGGCAGATGTCATGGATAAGGCAGAATATGATTATACTATTTCTAGAAGACATATTACCACTTCCCATCCATTTTGGCAATTTCACATACTTTATTCGTACTTTTATAGGTTGTCATAATTTAGAGAGAAAGAGAGATGGGGTTTAACATCCACTTGACACACACTAGGTCATTTCGGGACTAACACATGGTTCAATTTTATTTCAATAATTTGCTTGCACATAGGGGTCTTTAGCAGTGGGAGGAAACTCGAGGACCCAGAGAAAACCCACAAGGTTGGACAGACGACCCTACTCCTTGTCACGCACAACCAAGCAATCGAAACCCTGCCTGTTGACCCAATGACAGATCTTATGATACAGCTCGCATGTGCTAACCATTCGGGCCATCCAACCCCACTGTCATAATTTGGTATATATTATTCTCTTTCACATATTAAAATATATTTCCTTTGAATTAAATAACTTTTTGAGAAAAACTGTCATTTGAAGGATAAAAAAAATTAGAAAAAGGTAGAGAATGCCTGTTCTAAACAAGCGGTTGTCATGCTAGAGACGCCCACATTCCGCGAGCGACTGACAGAGAACAAGCTGAAAAAGCAATTTTTCGCACAATAAAGGATGTTACAATCCAATATGTGAGAATATCGAAAGGAACCAAGTTTTGGGGTTGTAAACATAGATTTTAAGTTTCATCAAAATAGGATAAAAATTGTGACCTCTAGTGTGTCCACAAGCAAAGAACATGATTTTTCATACAATCAGGGACCATAATTCATGAAGTTATGGTCTGATACATGCCAATATCGAAAGGAACCAAAATCTTTGGGAGATAAACCTATATTTCAAGTTTCGTCAAAATTGGATATAAATTGTGACCTGTAGAGTGTTCACAAACAAATGTGGATGGACATCTTTCCAGTCCTATCGACAATATACATCCATGTGAAAATGTGGGCATTGGATTTCTAGAGATGAATTAAAAAAAAACAAATCGGCTATTGTTACGACGAGTTTGATCCAAGTTTAGAACGAATTCCAAAATGGCTGCCAATCTCCCCTACACCAGCTTTGAAAAAGGAGCAGTATTTTCAACGTTTTCTGAACTGAAGGCAGCAATTAAGAGATGGGAAGGGTTAGGGTTAGGACTATTTTTACGACTATTCAGTTTTTAACTTTGCCGATGGAGGGCTGTGAAAGAATCGTCGTAACAATAGTCTGAGGACTATTTTTACAACTCGTCGTAACAATAGCCACTGCCCCCCATAAAAATATCAATTAATCTTGCCTCTTTTATCTATTGTAATAGATTAGAGACAATTGTGTGAGAAAAATAGTACGCAACTGTCCGAGATTAAAAACCTTGGTGCTGGCAAATTGTCCAAATATTTCAAATGATGCTATGGTGGAAGTGGCCACCTATTCCATGGATATCAGGTAAATAAATGAATGCCTTACACAAACTTTGATAATTCATTAAGTTCAGATTTAAAATGAAATAAGGGTTAATAACCTCCTATTTCTGAATCAACTGTGCTAATGAGGGAAAATTTAACTAAAGATAAAATCCAAACTTTAGTAGATACTTCAATTTTGATTGGCTAAGCACTAAAACCAATCTAATATTATCCAATCAAATTGCTAAAATTGGATTAACAGCCACACTACCGCCTTCTCTTATTTCAAATTCCAACTGTCTAAGATTCTTTTACGTCCACACCAATATCTACACAGGACCTTTTTTCATACCATCCAAACGACTGGGCATTGTTCCTTGTCAAGCCCTCTGTCCTGCACCACTGACAAGGGGGAACCATGCAGGAAAATCTTGAGGAACTTTCTCGACCAACACCGGAAGCAAACCCGAGACTTCCTGGTTAATGAGTCAGCGTCCTATTCACTGAGCCACAAGTTTAGATTTAACTCTCTTCCAAAACTTACGTATAAAAACTGTTTATTGTGACAGATTTTAGTTATACTGATTTAGTAATATTAATATTAGAAATATAACTAATGATATTTGCAGGAACCTGGATGTATGTGGTTGTAGAAATATAAATGATATCAGTATTAGAAATATAACCAATAATTGTTTGAGATTAACAGCTTTGGATATTAGTTCTACTGGCTGTTCTACGGCAAGGTGAGTCTTAATTAAACAATCATTGATTGTAAATCCAGTAGCTACATAGTCCATAAATGACTTATCAGGGACTTCATCTGCATTCCATCTGGTCATATCACTTTATAAGGCATATTTTAGTCTTGCCAAATCAAGTGCCAAAAAGACTTAGAGCATCTTACTGGATAGTTATGATCTATGAAAGGGATTATTCAGGGATACTACTTCGCCTGTATGTTTCGGACATGTCCTACACGATTTTCAAAATGTCCGACCAGGAATTTGCCATCATGATATGGTGAAAGATATTTGATTATGTTCCAATTACTAAATGCCATTTAAAGAATATGGTGAAAGATATTCAAAATTCCAAAATATTTTGACTGTACTGAGTGTATAACTACTACACATTTAGATTATTGTTGATAATTGGCAGGATAGGTAATTATGTGATTATGTTTTTGTATTCAGAATGTGATATTATGCTATATAACATAAAAAATATATGTAGTTAAAGTCTATTAAATTGAATGTAAGCTTATTGACATTATTTCCTGAAGCTGAGAAACAGATTCTGGTAACTTAAGACTGGCATCTACTAAACCCAACTAAAAATGTCCAATCAGCAAAATTTTGAAATAGCATCCCTGCATTATATAATTGTATATGCACATTCAAATGTATCATAAGGTCTGTCATTGAGTCAACTGGCGTGGTTTCGATTCCCCAGTTGTACATGACAAGGAGTAGGGTCGCCTGTCTCCAACCTCGTGGGTTTTCTCAGGGACCTCCAGTTCCACCCCACTGCTAAAGACCCCTACGCACAAGCAAATTATTGAAATAAAATTGAACCATATGTTAGTCTTTCCCTGATTTGGTTTCGAATCGCCGGTTGTACGTGGCAAGGAGAAGGGGCGCCTGTCCAAACTCGTGGGTTTTCTCCGGGTCCTCCGGTTTCCTCCCACTGCTAAAAACCCTTACCCGCAAGCGAATTATTGAAATAAAATTAAACCATATGTTAGTCCCAAAATGACCTAGTTTGTGTCGAGTGGACGTTAAATCCCATTTCTCTCTCTCTCTTTCCCTGATTAACTGTATACGCACATTTAAATGGTCAAATTCTTATGTTTGACAGTATTGTAAATATTGTATAACAGTGACAATAAGGTAGTGTATGCATTTGTATTTCTAGATGGAAATATAATTTATGAATCTTATTGTTTTTGTAGTGTAAATATGCTAGCTAATTATGGTAATCGGTGTTTGGAATCGGTAAAACTCAACTTTTTAACAGACGTAACAGAGGCCAGTCTATTAAGATTAGTCAAACATTGCTCAAGGTTAGTGTCATAATTTTTGTTATAACAATTTTATTGGTATATATTAAGTTATATACCTTGGTACCTCATTCGCCGCTGTGGTTCAGTGAGTAAGACGCCGACTCACTAACCAGGTCGCCCCAGAATTGTTCCTGACTTTGGCCAAGAAGTTCCTTTAGATTTTCCAGTGTAATCTCCCCTTGCCAGTTGTGCAGAATGAAGGGCCTGGCAAGTAACAGTGTCTAGATACTCGGATGGTCTGGAAAACCAAGGTCCCCTGTGCAGGTTGACATAGACATTGGAATAGGCTGTAGTGCCACTGTCTGAGTAAAATTTCCCTCATACTACATCTTTGTTCGGATGGTGTAGAAAAGTAGTATGTTCAAGCCCATTTCACCTCATTCCCCAAATATTACATAATCCATGAATCTTAATTTTGCATAATTACTGAAATAGCTAATAATTAATTTTTGCTGAAAAAAACCCCTTTAAATTCCTTATAAATACCTCTCTCTTTTTTGCTTGTTTGCTTTTTTCTGTCCTAAAAAATTTTTGTATCTATTTTTTTTTTTTTAGATTAAAAATACTTCATCTATATGGCTGTTCTAGTGTTAGAAATATTTACAAATTAATTACGATAAATAAAAACCTGGATGTTGAAATGTAATAGATATATAAAGGGCCTAATATATTTTATATTGTACATATAGATATTTAAATTAGGCCATATAAAAAAATATTCTGGTTCTCAGATAATCCCGTGTCACTTCAAAAGGGCCGCATCACCTGTTTTTATTTTAAAAAATGAAAAATAAAAACAGGCTCATTGATGACAGCATGTAAGTATTTTATTCTGATTACAAAAAGTAGAATTATAGAAAAATTTGAATGAATCCATAGGCTCATTTATCAAGTACACAACCCTGATAAAGTTAATGACAATCAAATAATACTGGATAATAAAATATCCTATAAACAAAAATTTGTTGTTAGCCAAGTAGTGATTCTTTGACAAAATAAAAACCAGAATATTTGTTTAATATGGCGTTATTATATATCATTTTTTGTATTTCTAAAATCTGATATATTTTTTTTTGAAAACATTGATTAATTTAGAGAAAATAAAGTATGACGCCGCGACTACTGTTGTTTAAAGATTGGCCTAAAGTCAGTTACATAACAGATTGGGCATTAATAAATGTAAAGAGACAGGACTGTACATTCTATATTTAAAGACGCATTATGTAAGAGCTAAATCTGCCTATTGGAGGTCTTTCTTTTGGCTACAATTAATGTAACATAAATTATTAAATAAGACATTTATTCACATAACAAGCCTATAATCAACTCTCTAGGTTATCAGATGGTCATGATTTTGAATTGATTGAAACATGATCACCATTTAATAATTAAACTTAAAAAATATAATCCTGTCTTTGTTTATTATGGTAACAATGGTACTGGATAATCAAGACTATATTGTGAAAACTCCAAACACTGTGCTCAGAAGAAGGTCATTTGACTGAAATTTTCAATATATTTTTGAAGCTATAATGACCAACTCTATATCTAAATCTTACATAATGTATCTTTAGGATTCAATGAGATCAGCAACCGACCAATCCGCCATTTTTAAATCCAAATAGAAAATCTGTGGAGGTTTTGTTTGAAAATGATTGTAGTATGGATATAGTTCTAAAGCTGTTGATCAATGATAGATGTAGTTTGCTAAATCATATTATTGCTAATGACTTACAGTGAACTAGAATTTTGACAAGAAATTAATGTGACACTGTAATGCATTTTTAACATGGATGTAATGCAAGCGTTAATCCCTTGCTTTTCAGTATTTATATCCCAAATATTGTCTTTTAATATGTATCCATTCCTTTTTAATATTATACAATCCTCTTGCATATTACAATAATAAAATGTAACTTGAATGTTTGAAGTCTGAAAAAAATAGCCATAAGACTATATGTTATCAGTTGTCTGTTATTAAATTTATTTATTATCTGCTGTCATTTATATAAGTATTTTTCTACAATATTTATATATATATATATTTTTATCACAGGTTTGTATACAGATTATAAGCATGTACACACAAATAGACATTTGTGGATTTTTTATTGTTTTCATTATATATGTGTACAATACTTTTTTGCACTTGGTAGAACTGCATAAAGTGGTACCATACTTGACTTCTTAATGCGTTTTTTGCTGCTATTTGATTTTTACTTCAGATTTGATGATTTTAGCAGATATTTTGGACAGGTTGTCATCACTATATTAACAGACCATTGATAGATTTTATACAATTTGATTTGGCAGGGTTTTTTTTGTAAACTTCCACCTAAATATTTTGATTACTGTTTACAAAGTGATATGAAAGTTTATATGTTACAATATGTGTATGAATGGGTTTATAAGGCATGCTAGTAGGTTTCTAATTTTTAATTATGATATGCAGGTTATTAAGGAAATTGTCTGATTATGTATTGTATGAATATAATGACATTTTATAAAGCCAGTTATTTACAATTTTGAGTCGTCTTGACTCCAACATATGTTTGCAATTTGCTATAGAGGAATAAATTGCACTTGGGATGGTTTGCTGGTTGGTTAAATGGTATTTTTCGATTTGGCGTGATTTTACTATAGGCTCTACAATTAACTTGTGGATGTTAAAATTAGATTGCATTTAAAATTTGTAATAAGTATGTCAAACTATGCTGAGAAACAGAAGTTTTAACTTTAAATTTCTATAAGTTTAATAAACACCAGTTAAAACACCTCACTCTTTAAGTAGAGCATATCAAGTATTTTCAATATTGAAGGTGAGTCTATGGCTATTTTGATGAGTGTGATAATGCCTCTTTAAAATGGAGTAATAGATAATGAAAAATATATAATTATTTTAGAGATGGTGCCATATAGTAATTAATGTAATATTGATTAGAGGGTAAAGGTTTTAAATACAAAGATTATTTCCCTAAACAAAGTGGTTTAAACATATTTATTTTAATTTTTGTTCTATATTATACAGTGATGTACAGCTGTCTGATATCGAAATTGAAATCAGAATGGAATTATGTATCAACTTAAAATTGTTATGTTGTTATAACATGCTTATTATTATTATTTATTGTTAATTTATTTTCAAAGATACTGAAATAAAACTGAAAAAAATTAATGGGTTAAAGCCTGCATGTTACTTCATAAGGTCTGTCATAGTCAACTTTCCCGCTCGTATGTGACAAGGAGTAGGGTGCCTGTCCAATCTAGTGGGTGTTTTCTCCGGGTATTCCAGTTTCTTCCCACTGCTAAAGACCCCTATGCTCAAGCGAATTATTGAAATAAAATTGATACATGTTAGTCCCAAATGACCTGGTTTGTGGCAAGTGGACGTTAAACCTAATTTCTCTCTCACTTCTTAATAGAACCTCTAAATTTTATGAAGCCAGCTGTTATTCGTGATTGTTATTCGTGATCCGGCAGTTTATCTTAGTTTACATTGATAGAAATATTAAATTTAAATCTTATTAACTGTTGGTATACTTCAATATGGATGCCCGAACAGTTTAAAGTAGAAATATCAAACAAACTTGACTAAAACATACGATTATTTAAATATCAACTTTATATCATATTAACTATTGTTATACATTGTAAAGCGGAAGAAAAACTTTAGATATATTCAACCCGCAAATAAGAGTCCTCTCATTAAATATACCGTGACAGTTGTAAATTGGAATAAGATTAGACCACAGAGCTGTTGCGCGGACAAAATTTTCAACCTTTGATGTATGTCAGTGTTCATTATCCACTTTAAATTATATCAATCACAATAAGGATGCCCCAGTGGAACCGGGTAAAAATAAGCCCTCCTGTCCTCTGTGCGTCTCCAAAATCAAATACATCAGAAATATTTCAACGTTTATAGCTACGTTGGCTAGTTAGCTCAAATATCAAGCTGGGGTAAAAGAATACGATCAGATTGCTCTTGAAATCGTGAATAGCAATAACGAATTAATCTTTCAATTGTAATTGATCCACTTTTAATCAAATAAAGTATCGATTTTTTTTTCTAAGTCAGTTCGGTATTGTTTTTTTTACGCACGATTATAGCTTTTATCTTGTAGGAGATATCCAACCATTGCAAATTATTTATATTTTATTTATTTAAAATACTTTCCTCAATGCAGAACTCCTTGAACTCCGCCAATCCAAAATCGACCAATGTGAAGTTAATTTTTTTTTTAACATTTGACAGATATAAAATGTACCAAGGGGTTATTAACAGCTTATAAGATCACTGCCCTTTCAACATTGTTAACATTAACCCCGCCCCTTGTTCCAACCGTGTGAGCCTATAGTTTTTAACGGATTTTGAGAGAACAAACCCTATCGATATCCAGTTCCAGAGTTACACCTCTTTTTTGGCAGAAAAATCGATGTTCGCATATCTACATAATACACCAAATATTCTCAAAACTGACGACTGAGTTGCTGAAATCCTAAATTATACTGACCAAGTATTGAGGAAATTTCTACCACGTTTAAACATCACATCTCTCCTGTCGAACCAACAATAAATTGTTTATCGAAATTTTCAATAACACGGACACATATCTTTTGTAACTGTAAAATACCCTTCGTCTGAGACATACTAATTATTAATTTATATGACGTATTTTATTCCCCACACACTAGGCCATGTTTAATTATTACATTGAAACATTTGAAAGGATATTAATCAGTCCGAAATTAATTGGCTGGGTGTAACGCCGGGGAATAGTCAGCGTCATGCAGCTTGGTTTAGAATATGAATCTCAAATAAATGAGAATTTATACACACCCTTCTGTTTCATCAATAGTAGGAAGTTAAACCCTATTCCATTTCATTATAGCAGTATCACATTATATTATTTGTATGATGCATTGGTGTTGAAAGATATACTTACTTCAAACGAAGCCTTGAGTTTTATATGGAATTTGAAAATATTATTTCTGTATTGCTCATCTCTGTAATAGGGGAACTACCGTGACTCAGTGACAAGGCCGTGACGAGCCAGCACGCTATTCGGAATTCGCCAACGACGAATAACGAGCCAGCACGTTATTCGAGATTCGGGATTCGCCAATAACGAATAACAAGCCAGAACGTTAATCGGGATTCGTCAATGATCAATAATGAACCAGCACGTTATTCGGGATTCGGCCTACCTTGCATCCGACCGACCAACATATACTTCCAACACATTTTTGCTTTCTTATTAATTTAGAAAATTATTTTAGAATTTAATTTGCAAAATAATAAAAGCTAACGTTGAAAACTAATTAACTCGCCCCGTTGTCACTCCTTTCAGTTATAGTAGCGGTTTACTGAATAAAAAAGACTTCCCCAATTTATGAATTATTTATTTAGTTGTATTAAGTACTGGTTTTATCGAGTTATATGTCAAATGATCGCCCTGAAGTCACATGAACAACAATTGTTAGGTACATAAGTGGATATAGGATATAGCAATTCCTCGTGGCATGCTCCTAATCAACCGTCCAATCACGATTTGGGGCAATCTGACCCACTCCTCTTGCAGTGCCACGGTCAATTCTTGCAGTGTTGTCGGTGGACGTTGACGTCGACGAACACGTCTCCCGATCAAATTAAACGTAACACACTAAAGAAAAGATACGCTAAACAGTAAATCTTATGCAAGAACCGATAGGAAAGCAAACATGGATAGGATAAACCAGCAAGCGGCAGTTTTCATCAACCCTTCCTTGAAGTGTCAAATTTGACAATGAACCCCTCCCACGTGTATTGCGCTATTGCGTGTCGCACATGCAGCTCAGTGGTTCTGTTGGAGCGATAAGTTCTTCATCTGTGAACATACTCTTTAAACATATCAAGTGTCCATGACTATTTATCATATCACAACCTGCATAGGTAGCCTATTTGCATTTCAATATCCCCTACTTTTTTTGAAGAGTATATATTTAGCCAGGTGTGCCGCTATTTTTTCATGTGTTCCAAGGTGTGTCATTGGCAAACAAAAGGTTGAGAATCATTGGTCTAAACTTTAATATTTCAACCTTCATAAATCTGTCCTGTCATCATAGTTGGTGTATTTTATTTAAAAAAAAAACATCGTTCATTTCAATATCATAGTTTGATCTTGATTTATAAATAATCTCTATTGGTAAATGCGAGATGCAGTGACTCGGTGAGTAAGGTGCTGACTCGAAAACTAGGGGGTAGTCTCGGGTTTGCTTCCGGTGTTAGCCGAAAAAGTAGTTAGGATGTTTTCCCCTGTCAGTGGTGGATGACGTTGGGCCTGGCAAGGAACACCGTTCGGATGGGCCAAAAACTGAGGTCATGTCACAGTTGTAATTCGAATAAGAATAGACTGTAGCGCCCCTGCCGGGCACAATTTCCCCCATAGCGTGCATGGCATATGCATGTCTTCATTAAGAGTAGAAAACAGAGCGTTAAATCAATTCTATTACACGTATTAGTAAAGATATGGATACTACATTTGGATATACAATAATATAAATATAGACTCAACTTGGTGTACAATAGATTAATATTCTATGGATGGATTCTTGTACGTTGAGAGATTCCATTTTACGCGACGCTTGACTTTGTTGTTCTTCAAAGTTTACTTAGTCCTATTTGATCAATGTAATTATCTATTTATTTATTTATTTATTTATTCATTCATATCTATTTATTTATTTATTTATTTATTCATTTGTTTGTTTGTTAGTTTAAAAAAGTTCACTTATTTTATTTCTGGATATTTCAAAAGATGTGTCACGTTAAAGTGCATTATATAAAAGCTAAATCAGCCTATTTTGGCTTCAAATGCTATTATTTTAACATTTATTATTTTGACAAACCCATAATCAACTCTCTATGTCATCTGGTGGCTCCAAATTTAAGTAGATTACAACGCTTCGGCGGTTTAATGATTTAGTTTAAAAAAATGGAGAAGCGGGGCGAAGTCTCGAATAACAAGTACCGTTGTTACTATAACAAACAATCAATGCCACATATTGTCAAAACTCCAAACAGTGATAACGTCGCTCAGAATAAAGTAATTTGAATGATTTTTTTAAATATTCATTTTGCATTATCTATTTTTAAACTATTACAGAAAGGACGACAGACTCTGTCTTTAAATCTTACATAATGCATCTTTAATGTTTCCATAGGAAGAATTAGATTCACTTTATGACTCAATAGTACCTTTAACCAATCAAATTTACTTTGATAAACAGTGAAAAAGTGGTGAGAACAGTTAAAGGAGCTAGACATTGACATAAATGGGTCGCAACGCATATAATAATGTAATATTAATATATATAAACTGGTTTACATTCAATCGTTCCATTTTTACTCGAATTTCAAATCAGTCATGTTCGGCGAAATACGCCATAAATCTCAATCGAATGGCAATCTCTAGCGTCTGGCCCCAAGTTCACAAAGCATTCTCAGACTTAAGTTGAGAATTTACTCAAACTTGTTCACCTTATTTTAAACATGCATTATGTAAGAGCTAAATCTGATTATTGCAAGTCTTAATTTAGGCTTCAGATGTTATAGAAATTATAAATTAGATCTTTATTTAAACAACAAAACCAAAATCAACTCTGTAGACCCACGGATGGCTCGGCTACAGCTCGGATTTAAATAGGATTTCACTAATTGATTAAATCAAATAAGGGGTAACCTGATGAAAATACGTCAGTTAGATCGGGGCTAAATAATAGAGTGTACTTAGCGAGGCCGCTGTAAAGCGTTTCCGTATGCCATTGAAAACTTTACTTGATAATCGAGATATGTAGGTGGAGTTAACGCCTGTCAATCAAACGATCGGCGAAGGTGAAGACACATTTCGATACCATTTCTAGGCAAATATTACAACTATGATAACTATGTTCAGAATAAAGTAATTTGACTGAATTTTTCAATATATTCTTCTTTCATCATCTACTTTTGAACTGTTATAGCAAGAAAGGCCAACTCTCTATAAAAATCTCCCATAATGTATCTTTAACTAAAATATGACCCTTTATAAAACGTTTGTTGTTTTAATGTATCAAATACATCAATAAGAAACCATGTGCAAAGTTTTGTGTTTCTGGATCAAAGATATTTCTCATAAACAGTGATTGAAAGTTGAG